GTTGGTTCTGGATAGAAGTCCTAGTTTCTATGTTCAACTAGAATATTGTAATCGTCCAGTGGTATGTGAGAAATGTAGGTAACTTGGGCATGCTTGTAAAGCGGAAGGAGATAAGAATCAAGAGTTGCAAATGGTGGAAGAACTGGTAACAACTATGGGAATGGTGTTGTTGAAGAGAAGACTCTAGAAGGAACTAAGGCGGATGAGTCTGATCACAATTTGGGAATAGGAAACGGGAAAGTTGTTACTGTCATAAGTGTGGCTGAAGTTGGCCTGCAACAAGCTATCACAAACCTTGTTACATCTTTGACTCGAGGCCTCAAGGAAGAGCAAGCTGGAATTAGTAGATACTTGTACTCCTTTAAATGAAGGTCATCTTCCAATTGACAAGGAATTTGAGACATCAGTGGGTAGAATCCTTGATGGTAATGATGATGAAATGGTTCAATGTGTTGGCTAACTTAGATTAATTTGAGGTAGGTTCAATGATTATCTCTCCAGTAAATAATCATAAGGAGTTCCCTAGACTGAGTAATATTCTAATTCACTAGCATAATGGTAATAAGAGGCTGGGAAGGCCTCTCAAAGAAAAACACAATATTAAGATGATTGTGCTCTCTTAGAATATGAGAGGTTTCAGTGGTCTTGATAGGCATGTGTTCTTGGTAGAATTGTTAGGTAGATTTGAAGTGCATATAGACATATAGTATTAGTACTACATACTAAAATAAAGAAAGAGAAAGTTAGGGTATCATAGAAAAGCAGTTAGCAGCTTAGAATTTTGAGGATGTATATTCCCTAACAGGTGTAGTGAGAATATGGCTACTATAGAGGAAGGATATGGATTTCACCATGTTGGATAGAAATGAGCAGTACGTACATGGCATGGTCAAGGGGGAGATCAAATAAAAACCACCTTTTCTATGGGTAGAATGATGGTGGTCAGGCGCAAAAGATGTATTAGAAAATTAGAAGTATAGTGGACATGACCGATCATAGGATGATAGTGGCAATTTTAACGCAATCACCAAGAGTAGCGAGGCTTCAAATGACTTCGAACTAAGGGATAACACTCTCAATTTTTGTCACTGGATTGATGACATGCAACTGAAGGATTGCAAAGTGGATGAAACTTGGTATGCATGGCAAAAAATACGTAGAAAACCCAATAGCCAAAAGACAATACGAGACGATTGTTAATACTTAATGGTTGGCAGTTTTCTCGAGGGGATTAGTTAGGATACTCCCACCAGGGATCTCAGATCTCTATGACATTCTTATCCAAATTGATATTAGTAAAAAAAAGAATTAACAACACCATTGAAATATATTAGTACAAGGTTCTGCAATCTATTGCATGTATCAGAATCTAAAGAAGGTGAAAGTAAGGTTGAAGAAACTGAATAGAGCGTTTTTTTCTTGTTTACATGAGAATGTTCAAATTATAAAAGCAACACCTGATTTAGCTCAATTGGAGTCCTTGCAGCGCCACGACCCAACGACTTTTAAGGTGGAGAAGGGATGTATGGTCTAGCTCCTTAAGCTACAAAGAGTAGAAGTGATCCTCTATCAAAAGTCGAGACAACTAAGGGTGACATGTGGTGATTACAAGATGTAATGAGTCTGTAAAAATTTCAAGCCCATGAGTTGGCATTGTCCGAGGAATTGTAAGGAAGTGATTAAGATTCATATATAAACCTTTTCTAACAACTCGCTAGTAGGAAGTAGGAATAGAGGGAGAGAAAGCCTCATTCGAAAAAAAAAGTTCTCAAAATGACAGTCAAATCCACACATGGCACCTCTATTCACAACCATTACATGAAAGAATAGTAGAGACCCTCTCTTTCCTTAGCAACTCACATTTCTTAAGATAAGATTACTTGCCTTATCGAATGGCATAGAGTGCTCTGCCTCCAAGCAAAATGAATAAGAAGACTTTGACAACGACAACGATCGACTGCAAAGGACAAAAGCGGACGAGGGTTGATATTTGAGCCTATACGACAACGTTTCTTTTAGTTGCACTTATATTGGCTTTACTTGCCATTTTACGCGTGTAATTATTAGATTGGCACACTTGTCACTTGCCAAGTGGACAAGGCCGTTAGGGGCGTTTGTCTTGTAGCTTCAGGTTCCACTATGTATATATTTGCAGCTCTGTTGCCAGTAAAATGTAGAAAAGGACTTCACAAATTCAAATCCAACTTCTGTGATATCCAGGCCCTTCCTTCACAGAGGAGGATTTGTTTGCAAAAGAGGTTAGAAGACTCTATCAACTAGAGACCACTACTCCAATCTCCATCCATACATCAATCAAGAACACTGCAACTGCTGTTTCATACCCTCATAATTAAGAAACAATCATGTGGCATGCCAGACTACACCTTTCAAATTCCAAAGTTAGAAATTTCAAAAAATGTAACCCTGAGATACCCTTGATCAATGTTAGTCACTGTTAAATTTGTCATTTTGCTAGACAAAAAAGTTATCGTTCCCTTCCAGTTCCCATGTTTCTAAAGTTTCTTTTGAACTTATACACACTGACATTTGGGGGCCATGTCAGTTAACAACAAATCATGTGATGGTTTCACATACTTCCTCGCCATCGTAGATGATCACACTGGAGTTGTTTGGGCTTACTTAATGAAACAGGAAATCTGAGGCCAGACCCATTCTCCAACTGTTTTGCGCCATGGTCAATAACCAATTCAATAAATCTGTCAAATCATTAGGAGTGACCAAGGACAAGAGTTCTATATGACTGACTACTTTAGAGAAAATGGAATAACTCACCAAATGTCATGTGTTGAAAGACAAAAGCAAAATGGGAGAGTGTAGATAAAACATTAGGACATTCTAAATATAGTCAGATCCTTAAAACTTCAAGCCAACCAAGACATAATCTTCTGGAGTGACTGCATTCTTTATGTTGTTCACATTCTCAATCACCTACCTACTCCCGTTTTGCCCAACCAGGCCTCATACCAAAAACTCTACAACCATCCACTAGACTACTCTCATCTCAGAGTATTTGGGTCCCTATGCTATGCTTCCACTCTGGAAGCTGGTAGAACAAAGTTTCCTCCTAGAACTAGGAAATGACTTTTCCTTGGTATCCTTCCTGGCATCAAAGGGTATCAAATTTATGACTTCCACACAACAAAACCTTTGTACCTCGAAATGTGGTCTTCCATGAAACTATAATTTTCATTTGCCACCACACACAGAGACTCAACTACCACATACTCTCTTTCTTCATCCTCCCAAACTTGTCCCTCAGGACATACACCATCATTTATGCATACAGATCGTGATCCAATTGACCATTATTTTTCTGATGTTCAATGTAGTCAAAATCGCGTTTTAAAACTTATAAACTTACGATTTTATGTTTCTAGGTCACTAAAACGCTTCTACACAAAATCTCAGTTTTTATAACTTATGTAGTTAAAATTCCGCTTAAAAACTTACGATTTTACGCTTCTAGATCACCATAACGTTTCTACATAGAAACTCGCTTTTGACTACATTGCTGATGTTGTCTCATCCCCACAAAGTCAACCTGGTTTCTTTCCCTTTGAAACCATGGATGCTCAAGATGCTTTAGCATATGAAGAAATTTTAGCATATGAAGAAGGGGGAGTACATGAAAATGAGGAGGAAAATCCCCCTCTAAGGAGATACAACAGAACATCTACTACACCCGTTTGGCACAAAGATTATTACATCGAAAGTGCAAGTGCTTCATAGAGATAGCCAATCTCATCTATATGGATTACTCCCAACTCATTCAAGAGCACAAACATTTTGCCCTGGAAACAAACCTTCAAGATCCACAATCATATCATGAAGTTGCGAAAGAAGAATGCTGGAGACAAGCTATGAAGGCTGAAGAAATAGCTCTAGAACTTAACAACACATGGGATGTAGTAGATGCCCCACCAGGGAAGAATTTAGTGGGAAGCAAATGGGTCTACAAAATAAAATTACAAGCTGATGGCTCAAATGAAAGGCACAAAGGTCAGAGTTGTTGCAAAGGGTTTTACACAAGTTCATGGTGTTGATTTCTTGACAACTTGTGAAGCTAAAATACTTCCTAGGTTAGAAATAGCGAGGAACAATTCTGGGATTTCAGTCACACAAAGAAAATACTGTCTCGACATACTGATGGACACATGTTTCCTAGGTACTAAACCAGCCAAGACCCCATCAGACATGAAGACTAGGTTATCTAAATTCCACGATGAGCTTATGTAGTGCAATAGCTATGTCAGTTTCAAGCACAACCAAAGAAATCTCACATGAAGGCATTACACAGAATACTCAGATAAATTTAAAAACTCCCCAGGCGAGGGTTTGTTCTTTGCATCAAACACATATTTCACTTTAACAAGGTATCACGATTACGATTGGGGGGCTTGCCCTGTCATGAAATGATCCATTACTGGATATTGCATCTTTCTAGGGAGCTCACTCATTACCTGGAAGGCTAAGAAGCATGCAATAGTTTCAAAATCCTCATCTATTGCTGAATACAGAACCTTATCTCAATTGTCGTGTGAGATCTAGTGGATCGCCCAGGTGCAAGGTTGTCAACCCGCGGGTCAACCCGGCTTGGCCTGGACCCGCCCTAGAAAACGGGCCATAGCAACCCTTTTGACTGTCAACCTGGAATTGGTCAAACCCAGCAAAACACGGGTGGTTAGACCGTCAGAGCGGGTCAGCGGGTTTGGCTAGTGCGACATCTTTTTATGCTTTGAGAAGGCGGAGGGATTAGAGCAGGGTTTTAGAAACGAAAACGAAATCTTTCTTTCTATCTCCCCTATCTCTCTATCTATCTCGCTCTGTCCTTTCTTTCTTGCTCTCTAGGTTTTCGAATCAGACCACAAATATAAGAACAAAAGCTTAAACTTTAAAATTTGGCAGAAGGGTCTGAAATTTTGGGGCGATTGGGTTTCTATTTCTGAGGTGGTGGTGGTGGTGGTGGTGGTAGGCTTGCGATGAGAGAGCTGGGTGTCGACCTCTTCGAACCCCGGACGCTGATGGATTCTGATTTCTCTCGGACGAGGAATAGTGGCTCTGTTTTATCTAGCTTTTTCTCTAAAGGTGTTATTTCTGATTTAGACGTGTTTGGTTTCCTTCCTCCTGGGATGTTGGCAGTGGTTGAAGTTATTGGGCAAAGCGCAGAGCAAGTGCTAAACTTGAATGTTCCAGATGCATAGGAAACTTTGGCTTATGATAACCAAGATGAAGAAGTTGTGGCAATGATTGAGGAACCAGTTGCAGACAGCGGATTGAATTTGAATGAAACTTTCGTAGTTACAATTATTAAGTCCTAGGAAATTGCGAGGTGGGGTTGCCTCGACTTCTATTTTATGGAACGTTTGTATTATCAGGTGATGATGCCCCTAGTGGCAGTGAATCTGGCTGGAGCATGGACTGTTCTTAGAGTTAATACTATACACATTAGTTCACTTATATTAGCGACTAAGAGTCCATTCTTCTACAAGATGATCTTGAATTTTTAACTAATGGATTTAAGTTGATGTTATGTGCTGGATTTAAGTGTTGTTGAAATTTTACTATGTTGAATTTAAGTTAATCTTATTTAAGTGTGTTATTTTAAGTAGTGTTACATTTTATAATGACTCTTTTTATATTTTCGGGCTAAACCGGGTGACCCATTAACCCTTGACCCACTAGCTCGTTCGGGTCTGTGTCGACCCGCGGGTTGACAACCTTTCCCAAGTGTTAAAGGATATGAATATCGACCACAAGAGTTCATCCACTATCTTCTGCGACAATAAATCAGCAATTTATATGGCAGACAACCCTATTTTCCACTAAAGAACAAAGCACATTGAACTCGACTGTCAAGGTTAATTGATATGAAGTATGTGTGCACAGACATAAACTTAGCTAATATCTTGACAAAGGGATTGAGCACACACATATTCAAATGAATCCTCTTCAAGCTGGGAGTATATTATATATACTCCCCAGCTTGTAGGGGGTTGTCGAATGACATGGAGTGCTCTGCCTCCAAGCAGAATGAAGAAGAAGACTCTGACGCCAACAACAACGATCGACTGCGGAGGACAAAAATGGACGAGTGTTGACATTTGAGCCAATGTGATAGTGTTCCTTTTAGTTTCATTTATATTAGTTTTACTTGTCATTTTATGTGTGTAATTATTAGATTGGCACACTTGTCACTTGACAAGAGAACAACGCCGTAAAGGGATTTGTCCTATAGCTTCAGGTTTCACTAAATGCCACATTTGGTAACTAAGATTACTAAATCGTGTCATGTTTAGTCACTAGAAAAATTAATATCAATTTTGGTCACTCGAATTAATGAAATATGTCACATTTAGTCACTCTCCCATTAGCCTCCGTCCAACTCCAATCACTCGAATTACTGAATCATGTCACATGTAGTTACTCGAATTACTGAAACATGTCACATTTAGTCACTCTCCCGTTAGTTTCCGTCCAACTTTATTTACTAAATCGTGTTATGTTTAGTCACTAGAAAAATTTAATATCAATTTTGGTCACTTGAATTACTGGAACATGTCACATTTAGTCACTCTCCCGTTGGTAATGAAGTTGGACGGAAACCAACATGAAAGTGACTAAATGTGACCTGTTCCAATAATTCAAGTGACCAAAATTGATATTAAATTTTTCTAGTAACTAAATATAACACGATTTAGTAATTTCAGTGACCAAATGTGGCATTTACCCAGTTGACAGTGAACTGTAGAAAATGACTTCACAATTCACAAATTCCTGTCCTCTCATTTATTCTCATTCTTTGCCATAGGCGACATTGAGCGATTGAAACACCAAAGAAGAGGTTAATGTAGAAGTGTAATTAGTTTCCCAATTATCCATACATTTGCAAAGAATAATACACAAAATCACAATCGTGTTGATCCCTGTGATGTTTCACGGAGCCATCTTGTTCTTGGCTCATTCATTCCCTAATCCACTAAGATATTTACAAACTACAACAATCTAAAATTGAGAACAGACAGCAACCCCAACTAATCAAAACTCAAGAATCCGTACTCAGTATCAATATCTCTCGCTGACTGATGATGAACCACTATGCGAAGAAGCTTTAGCAGGCTGCCTAAACGACTCGTGACTGAGAGGCAATGGCCTGTCAGGCAACTTGGGAATATCAATGTCACCCTCTAGCATCTTCAAAGCGTCAGCAATCGTCGGTCTAAAAGCCACCATAGCATGAGCACAAAGCATCCCAACCAGAACAAATCTCTCCATCACCCCTTTAGCGCCTTCATCCCTTATCGCCTCGTCGTAGATCTCCTCCATCTTCCCAGACTTCAGCAGCATCCACGCCCAATCCGTGATCAAAAGATATGAAGCACTCGACGTATCAATTACCTTCCTCCCACTGATCACTTCGAGGATCACAACCCCGAAGCTGTAAACATCGCTCTTCTCTGTCAACTGACCATAAAGAGCATACTCGGGTGCCAGATAGCCATGTGTCCCAGCCACCCTCGTCGTAAGATGAGACTGCCCTTCGGAGCTCTGCTTTGCCAGCCCGAAATCAGCAACCTTGGCTTTCATTTCCTTATCAAGAAGAATGTTGTTGGCCTTAATGTCGCGGTGATAAATGGCAGGTTTGATCCCGTGGTGGAGGTATGCCAGCCCTTTGGCCACATCAAGGATGATGTTCTTTCTATGAGGCCATGTTAACTGCCTCCTAGTATGATCACTAGCTAGATGATCACCAAGACTTCCATTCGACATGTAATCGTAAACCAGAAACCTCCTCCTACCTCTGAAGATGTCGCTGGTAACGCAACAGCCACGGAGCGAGAGGAGATTCCTGTGCCTAATCTTGCTAATGATCTCAACCTCATTGGAGAACTCCTCGTCCCTCAGAGATTCAGGATCATGCATTTCCTTCACAGCAATGAAACTGCCATCCGAGAGAACCCCTTTGTAGACAACACCATAAGCCCCTTTCCCCAGGAAATTCCTCTGTGAAAACCCATTTGTGGCCTTCTCAAGCTCCCCCGACTGAAACCATTTCGCCCCAGAATTCGGCAGCACAGCAGATTTGAAACTGCTGACGAATTCCTCATGGGAAGCCTCAGCGTGCTTCCTCTTCTTCCGCTTTCGACACAAAACCACAAACAACAACGCAGCAACGACAAGAGCAGCAACACCACCGATTATCCCCAAAACAAGCCCTACCACTTTCCCATGGTTACCCTTCTTACCAGAAGTAGCAGAGGATTTCAACGGCAAGGCCAGAATACAACCCGACGTCTTGGCATCGAGAGGGCCGAGCTCGCTGACCATAGCAACAGCATACAAGCAAGTGAAGTAGAAGCACTTGGAAGTAGCATTTGCCTGGACATTAGTGAGCTGGGAATTCACCTTCAAGCCGGCGTCCAAACACGAGCTGCAGCGGGTGAGGCCGGAGACGTCGCCCCTGCAAGCGGAATCGAGCGGGGTGAGAGGTCCGACCCGCTGGATCCAATCGGCGGTGGAGATGACCCCGACGCAGCTGGAGGCGTTGGAGACGAACTGATTGGGGTCGCTGAAGCAGAGAGGGACGAAAGAAGGGTCGATTGAGATGGCGGAGAGGTGGGTCCGGAAGTCGGCGAGGCAGGCGGCGGAGGCGTTGGCGTCGGGGAGCTGGAAGAGGGAGGTCTCGCGGAGGTGCTGGGCGATTCCGATGCCGAAGAGGCTGAGCAGGGTCTGGCAGCAGTGGCGGCCGTCGGTTTGCTCGCAGAGGGATGTGTCCCATGGGATTGTGCGGACGTAGCTTAGATCGAACGGGCATCGCGGCGGCGGTGGCGGAGGAGTTGCTGCAGATGCTGTGGAAATGAGGAGGAGTAAGGAGAGGAAGGATAAGGATAAGGTGGTCGCCATTGCGATGGTGGATTCTTCTGCTGCTGGTGGTGGTGCATTAGATCTCTGGGCTCTGGGAAACATAATTGAATTGCTTACTATCAATAGAATAATAATCAAGCCCATGTGGGAGATTAAAATTTAAAATCATTAGATTAAGGTCGGCTTCTAGAGTAGAGGTTGAGCAAAGCGAAAGAATGATCAAGATTGGCTGGCGATTGTCTGGTCAAAGCTTTACCTTTTTTTTCTGGAGGGAAAAAAAAAAATGAACAAGAGAAGATCAGAAAATGGTTGTCCCGTCTCACGCCGTGGAATGCCGGATGGTTGAATTAGCTTTTTTTTTTTTTTTCAATAAACGCTCAACTCTTATTCCACTTCCAACTCGAAAAAAAAGCGAGAATACACTTAATCAAAGGAAATCCGAAATTAGGTCAATAATACTAATCCAGTCATCAGGGAGAGAGGATCTAGCAAGTGATCGTGCAACCCAAACAGCTCTAACATTAAAAGCTCGTGAAACTGCCTTGACCTTCACTTGAGGGTTCGTTCTTAGGATTGAGACCATTGATCCAATCCATGATGCACCACGCTAAGGCCAATTTCTTGGCTCATCCGAGAGAGCTTTGACAATCAGTTGGCAGTCTGACTGGACAACATATTCAGTTCCATATTCTTGGGCTAATTTGAGACCTTCCAGAAGTTCTTTTGCTTCGGCATCGAGTGGGGTGGAACAAAGGAGAATGTCAGCTCGCCCATCACACACTTGTCCATGGTGGTTAGTGACCACAACACCATATGCCGCCGGCTGGGAGTCGTTTAAAAACGACCTATCACAGTGAATCACAAAATTGTGATTGCTTGGCGGTGGAGAATTGAGTGATTGGGCTCCCCTGAGCTGAGTAGAATGAGAGTCATTGGGGGGACTCCTCGGGCAATTAGTCCATTCCGTAAATTCCTTGTAAGTTCGCAAAATAACGTTCGGATGCCAAGGGATCCGATTCTTGAACACACAGTCATTCCTAGCCTTCCAGATGTTCCAGCAGAGGAAAATAACATGAGTGAGGGCTCCTGGTTGGATAGAGTCCTTGAGTAGGTACAACCAGTTAAGGAAAGCAGTATACTGAGTTGGCAGCGGGATGTTTGGGAAGATAACTTCCCATGATTCCCTCGCATGGGGACATTGAAAGAGGCAGTGAAAAAGGGACTCAATCAGCCATTGGCACACCTGGCATGTTGAATTAGCTTCATTGGGAAAAGTTAATTTGCTAACTTGAAGATTCGTTAGCAGATACTAACTTATATCCAAAATACATGAACTAGTATCCAAGTACTAAAGTATCTAGAGAGCACAGACTAGTATTCAAAGTTTGCTAACTTATATCCACCATGGATCAACTATTATCCCAAATTCACAAACTAATATCTAGACAACACAAAATAGTATCCATATAGGACATAATTAGTATCCAGATAACACATAAGAGTATCCAGATAACATATAAGAGTATCCATGTTGAATACTAGTTGGTTGATTGTGGATATTAGTTGGTATATGCTATCTGGATACTAGTTTGTGATGTGTTGAATACTAGTCTGTGCTATCTAGATACTTGGCAGACTTGGATATTAGTTCATCCATTTTGAATATTAGTTAGTATATACTAACGAATCTCCTAGTTAGCAGAATAACTAGGCTGAGCTTCATTTGGTATGGATTGTGAAATTGGCATAAACATCAATATTAGTAAAGGTAATGAGCTTGGGCGGTACCTCAATATTATTTAGGAGTGGAAGTTTGGGTTGTGGGTTGGGGATAATCCGTAAACCGCATCAACCTTCACTCATTGTGGGTAATCATATCCATAAATTGTGAATAGTGGGTAGGGTGTGAGTAGTAAAATAATAACTTTTGTGGTTAGTAGTTATCCACTATCGACCGTGGTTAACCTACAAAATTCACAATAACCGTACTAATTATATTTATTTACTAATAATACTTTATAATATAATAGTATGTGAAAAGTGGGAGGCAAAAAACTAAAGTAGAACACATAATCAATTACGCATCTAATCAGTTTTAAGTGAGAATTTTTTTAGTTTATAACTCACTATAATCGAGAGAGTGGAAAACAAACGATGATTAAAAGTTGGCACTTTTAGTAACTTTTATCTTTATGGTTTTGCTTTTGAGTGAAAGAAAATACAAGTCATATATGAAATCACAGTTCCCTGACGCAAAAGTTGAATATCAAACTCGAAAAGAAAAAATCTCCACGTTGAGTAAGATCGATATACAAAATTATATCTCCATGAACGACACAAATTGTATATTACTGTAGTCTAGCTACGAACAACAAATATGTTGGTGGCTCCCTCAACTCCATACTTGCAAATATGGATTTTTGCGGGTAACCACACCTACCCACATCAACCTGCAGTGGGTAATGGTTACCCACTAACCACTGTGGTGCGGGTTGTGGGTAGCATAATTGCAAATTTGTAGGTGTGGGTACCTACAAAATGTGGGCGGGTAACCACACCCGCCCCAATTTCCACCCCTATCAATATTCAATACCCATGCCCCGCCTCATGCTACTATGGATTGAGGTGGGTAATGTCCGTGGGGGCGGGTCGACCAACTGTTGCATGTTTTATGAAAAAAAAATACATGCAAAATTTTCCTTTTTACGATAAAACGTATAGGAAAACATTTTATGAATGAAAAATTGTGATAATAGAATGGGTAATTAACTCTAACTAGTTCAAAAATTGAGTCTAACTAGTGGAATAAAAATCAAAATATGAGAAATATGAATAGATGTTGTAAGTATTTGAGGTAAAATGGCAAAGAACGGGATACAGGATACTATGCCTACCCTTAAAAGGGTTGGTTTTTTGACACCCCCTTCTTAATTGGTCAATTTTTTCATTAATTATTGACAAGTATTAATGAAGGTAGACATAATAAATGTTCTGTTATTAAATACAAAGTAAGCATTATATACACCACATTAATTACTTGTTTTAAAAAAAAATCTAAACATATACAAAATACAATTCTCTCTCTCATCTTTGATCTTTCTCACTCCTATCTCTGATTCTTCCTTTCTCAGCAGCCTTCGAATACCAAGTATCCTCCGACCACCACACTTCACCGGTAAAATCCCGCTGACAGACTCTCTCCGGTCACCTGCGAAAATATACCACTGCAATGATATGTTGTACTACTACACTGATACTCTGATATGACATTGGTACCAGTGCTCTGATATCGCTACAAGTGCAGTGGTAGAGCTACCATTGCAGTGGTATAACATATTAGTGCGGTGGTATTTTTTTGCAGGTGATCGGAGGGAGTCTGCCGATGGGATTTTCACAGGAGAAGTGTGACGGTCGGAGGAAGCCTGGTGGTCGGAGGCTGCTGAAAAAGGAAAAATGAGATATAGGGAGAGAGAAGGTATTTAGTGTAGGTTTAAATTTAAAAAAAAAAGACAAATAATTAATATGGTGCATTTAATTCTCAATGTGTATTTAATGTGTATATTAAATTCTATAATTGTATTTAATATCCTAGGGGGTGTCATTTTTCCAACCCCTCAAAGGGGTTAGCATGCTAATCGATCCCGGCGGAGTGGGACATGGCAAGTTAAGTAGATACCAATGCCCCGCCCATTTTACTGCGGGTCGCGTAATACTCGTCCCATCACGGGTCAGGTAAGGTAATACCTGCGGGGTGGGTTCAAATTGACATCACACTAATCAATATTATAATTAGTATGATTGATTTACTAAAATCACATCATTTTAATGATTTTAATTAATAAAAAATAATTTATTACTTATTTTATGAATTTAGAAGTTGATGTTATCTGTTAGATTCAAATATAAACATTTAGGTATTGAATTTAAATGTTATATCTAAATATGAGTGTTTTTTATTTTATTTGGAATGCCGAATTTTATTTAAATATGAATACGGATTGTAAGTAAATTATCTTCAAATATATTTTATATATAACATAATTTATTTGATATTAATGATTTTCATTTTCACATTTCTATATATTTTTATAACGATATAAAATCGGCCCAAGCTGATTTTATTATCCGTTGAACTATTTCACTTGTCAAGTTGTCGCCTTCCCTCTCGCCGCGCCGGAATGTGAAGTAGACTCAGCCGGAAAACAATCCTGAAGAGAATCGTCGACAAAAATAAAAAGGTGTAGACTTTGAGCTTTTCTTTTTTCTCGTGGTCGTGGGGTTTGAAAATTTTGACCAAAGCAATGTAAAAATGAAAAGACCCACTTGCCCACTTGCATCTTTTCCCCGCCAACTCTTCCACCCATTGCCATTATCATAGTCGCGTGGTGGATGTTCGCTTCCACTTCCAGCAATAAAGCGAGAATCCCCTGCTTCCGGCCACCCTTCCTTCCACCGGAATTGTTTATTCTATAATAATAATACCGCCAACGGCCAGCCAATTTGACCTCTTACTTTCTCTGACCCATGCCTTTTTTGTACTCACATGCCCACCATTCCCAATTCATTAATTCAATCCACCATCCCCTGAAAACCCACCCACCAACATGGCGATGGCGATCGCCTTACTCCTTCTCACCTCCGCTGCCGCCGCCGCCGCCGCCGCCGCAGCACCACCAATACCTTCTTCTTCTACTACTACACCAGCAACAAGGTGCCCATTCGATCTAAGCTACGTCCGCACAATCCCATGGGACACTTCCCTCTGCCAGCGACCCGCCGCCGCCCCGCACTGCTGCCAGACCCTCACCAGCCTCTTCGGCATCGGGATGTCTCAGCACCTCCGCCAGACCTCCGTCTTCGAGCTCCCCAACGCCAACGTCTCCGCCGCCTGCCTCGCTGACCTCCGGACCAACCTCGCCGCCATCTCGATCGACCCTTCCTTCGTCCCTCTCTGCTTCAACGACTCCAATCAGTTCGTCTCCAGTCCTTCCAGCTGCGTCGGGATCATCACCGCCGCCGATTGGATCAGTAGGGTCGGACCCATCACCCCGCTGGATGCTAATTGCAGAGGCGACCTCTCATCGGGGCTGACCCGCTGCAGCGCTTGCTTCAACGCCGGGTTGCAGGTGAACTCTCAGCTCTCTAGCCTCATGCCCAATTCGACTTCCAAGTGTTTCCACTTCACTTGTATGTATGCTGTTGCTATGGTGAACGAGCGTGGCCCTCTCGATGCCAAGACATCGGGTTGTATTCTGGCGTTGCCGTTGAAAAGCTCTGTTGGTGAAAACCCTAATCAGGGCAAACATGGGAAAAGAAGCGAATTAGGGCTTGTTTTGGGGGTTATCGGTGGTGTTGTTGGTGTTGTAATTGCTGCCGTGTTGATTGGGGTGTTGTGGCGAAAGAGGCGAAAGAGGAAGCACGATGAGGCTTCCCATGAGCAATTTGTCAGCAGTTTCAAATCTGCTGTGCTGCCGAATTCTGGAGCCAAGTGGTTTCAGGCGTCGGAGCTTGAAAAGGCTACGGATGGGTTCTCACAGAGGAATTTCCTGGGGAAAGGAGCTTTTGGTATTGTGTACAAAGGGGTTCTTGCAGATGGCAGGTTGATTGCTGTGAAGGAAATGCACGATCCTGATTCTCTGAGGGATGAGGAGTTCTCCAATGAGGTTGAGATCATCAGCAAGATCAGGCACAGGAATCTGCTCGCCCTGCGAGGGTGCTGCGTTGCTAGTGACGCAGTCAGAGGGAGGAGGAGGTTTCTGGTCTACGATTACATGTCGAATGGAAGTCTCGGTGATCATCTAGCCAATGACAGGAGCAGAAATCAGTTGAGTTGGCCTCACAGGAAGAGAATCCTCCTCGACGTTGCCAAAGGACTTGCATACCTTCACCACGGGATCAAACCCGCCATTTATCACCGCGACATCAAGGCCAACAACATACTGCTGGACAATGAAATGAAGGCCAAGGTTGCTGATTTCGGGCTTGCAAAGCAGAGCTTGGAAGGTCAGTCTCACGTTACGACGAGGGTGGCTGGAACGCACGGTTATTTAGCACCGGAGTATGCGTTGTATGGGCAGCTGACGGAGAAGAGCGATGTGTACAGCTTCGGGGTTGTGATTCTCGAAGTCATCAGTGGAAGGAAGGTTATCGATTCGTCGAGCTCGTCGTTTCTTTTGATCACGGACTGGGCATGGATGTTGTTGAAATCCGGGAAGGTAGAGGAGATCTACGATGAGGCGATACGAGAGGAAGGTGCTAAGGATGTGATGGAGAGGTTTGTTCTTGTTGGAATGCTGTGTGCTCATGTAATGGTGGGGTTCAGGCCGACGATTGCTGATGCTTTGAAGATGCTGGAAGGTGACATTGATGTTCCTAAGTTGCCTGACAGGCCATCGCCACTCAGTCACGAATCATTTCGGCATTCTGCTAAGAGCTCGCTTTATGGTTCATCTGTAGGCAGCGAGAGGTCGAAAGCTTCCAACACCTCCATCTCCAGCTCAAGTACCGCATCTTGATGCTGTTCTATGGATTCTTGGATTTGATTAGATGCGTTGCTGTGTGTTTGAAATTTTGTTTGTATTTACAATCGAGGCAAGTAATATCCATTTATACGCAATAAAATCAAATCACAGCCTCTCAAAGCGAACTGCTATAGCGCCTTGATGAGAGATGATGGTGGTCAACCAGTACGGCGAGTTAGGACTAGTACGACTACAGTACTCAGGACAGGACTAGGATTATCTGGAGAAAATAAAGAAGATTAGCTACGGCTACCAATACCCACAACTACAAGGAGAAACACCTGTAACGAGCCAACGAGAAAAGTGAAAACACAATAAATTCCAGTCTCCCAAACCAAAAACACTACCCAACCTGTACTAGCTGTCAAAACACCCGTCCGCTCAACCCAATCCGCAATTCGATCGCAACTCAAATTGACTAAAAGTCAACAGCCTATAACCCGTCCGACCCGCAAGCCGATTGACCTGTAACCTGATTAACCCGCAACCCAAACTTGATTGACCCGACCGACTAACCCATGACCCGACCAACTCAACTCGAACTCCACTCCATCCACTTGAATAATTATTAATTATATAATATATCATTTTTCAAAATGAATTTTTTATTCTATACTTAGGTAAAAAAAATTAATTTCGTGTAGGAAATTCAAAAAATATGAAACCCACTTGATATTACGTATTTTAATAAAATTGCAAAAATTGAAACATGAAGGTCACTTGACCACTAAGTTCTTTAACAAAATTAAGAAAGTAAATACGAAATATAAAATCACCACAATGTCAATATCGATAATAAAAATTTAATAATTGAGATCATGAAAAATATTAATATAATATATATATTAAAATTTGATTAATTTAATTATTTAACAAATTTATCAATTAAATATAAATATAGTAAAGTAATGTATTTGGTAATTTGATTATTTTAAAAGAAGAGACAAATTTTGGCGTTTTCAACTTTTTGAGAAGAGAAAAAATTGGGAAATTTGGTGTTTTTAATTTTTTAGAAAGAAACAAGGAGACAATTTAGTGGTTTTGATTTGTGTGAAGAAAAAGAAGCAAAAAAATTTGGTTATTTTGAGTATGAAAGGAGAAATAAGTAGAGAATTTTGGATTTTCAATTTTTTTAGGAAGGAATGAAGCACACAAGATGGAAATTTGGTTCTTTCAATATAATGGAAGAGAAAGACGAAAAATAGACCCTTCCTTGGTCTCTCTCTGCTTCAGAGGCCCGAATTAGTTCGTCTCCAACGCTTTCAGCTGTACCGGGATCATCACCGCCGTCGATTGGGTCCAGAAGGTCGGAACCTTCACCGCGGTGGACGCCGCTTGCAGAGGCGATCTCTCCGATTACATCCCCTGCAGCGCTTGCTTCAATGCCGACGTAAGTTTGGCTTACCAGCTCACGGACATCATGCCCAATTCCAGTTCCCAAGTGTTTCCACTTCACTTGCCTGTACGCTATTGGTAAGGTCAGCGAGCGTGGTCCTTTGGATGCCAATACGTCTAGGTGTATTTTGGCCTTGCCATTGAAAAGCTCTGCCTCTCCTGCCAAGAACCCTAATGAGGGTCACCGTTAGAGAAAGATATTGGGGCTTGTCGCCGGTGGTGTTTTAGCTCTTGTAATTGGGGCCGGTTGATCACAATTTTGTACAGAAAGCGGAAGAAGAGGAAGACGAATGAGGCAGAGCTCGAATTTGTGGGCAGTTTCAAATGTTTTGTGCTCCACAATTCTAGGGGGTGAGGTGGTTTCAGCGAGCAGAGCTCGAAAAGGCTACGAATGGGTTTTCACAGAGGATCCTGGGGAAAGGATGCAAGGAACGAGGACCTCTCCAACAAGGTTGAGATCCTAAGCAAGATCAGGCACAGGAATCTCCTCTGCCTCCGTGGCTGTTGTGTTACCAGCGACGTCTTCAGAGGTCGGAGAAGGTTTCTGGTTTACGATTACATGTCAGAACAGAATTGATGCTTGTGTATCTGGAACCAACTTCTGTCAATGATTCTCCCTTCGCCTCCGTGCTTTCACTTTGCTGCAGCCATTCTTTGCACAGTGACCAATAAGACAATTGGGAACTTGGAGTTTGTACGCTGAAGGGTGCACATTATGAGTTGCAGTTGCTACTCGTCACAAGACTGAAGTTTGTATGAAGCTTCAGCACGTGCTTCTTCCAACTTCATCAGGAGCTCCTTAACAAAGGGTGTATTCGTTCCGTGAGTAACTCCAAGTACTCTTGCTGCATTAGTCAGAGAATTGATAGCATTCTCCGTATCTCCAAGCAACCTGTCGCACCCCCAGCATCAAATCAGTAACGGTTATGTTACTTTACCCTTAAGGTAATTGCCTTGAGGGTTAACAAGAATTCCAAAATGAGCGTCAAAAAGAAAACTACTGGAAAAATGGGATACTCTGGAAGTTCGAACCATCAAGTGCAATCCACATAACTGAGAAACAAACTAGCTGACAAGTGCTAGGTCGAATTCAAGGAACAGGGACCAGGGTGATTTTTATGAATGTCTAAAGTTACAGGATTCGATGCTTGGTAGCTTAACGTCGAAAGTTGAAAAACATGAACTACTGGATTGAAGAAAATTGACCTAAAGTATCAGGGAATGTGTCAAGTACTAAGGGGTGGTTTGGAAAATATGAGTTTAAATCTGCAGATTGTCAACAATCTAACTATTCAACTCTCTAGATTGTTGAAAACAGATTTTAAAATGTTTATTGTTTGGTAACTATGATTCTTAACATTCAATTAAAATTAAAATTAAAATTAAAATTTTATATTAAATCAATTGTTTATCCTTAATAAAAAAATTAGAGTGGTTCAATAAATATTAAAAAATATGTTGATAAATATATTTCATGTGATAAATACATAAAAGTAAGAGAAAAACTAGTAGAAAAAAATCTCACGAATCAAGATATAGAATATCTCTGATTATGAGAGATTTGATATCCGCAGATTTTAGAGATTTGAAATCTCTAAAGCTAGAATCCACAGTACAAAAAGCAACAAAAAAACATAACTTTCTACAAAATCTATGGATTCAGTGAATCTACGTCCTGAATCATGTTCTCCAAACGACCCCTAAACAGAGAAAGTAAAAGGATTGAATGAGATGCTAGGAGTGAAGGGAAGAATACAACAACTAACCACTCAAGCTTCCCACATGTGTAATACTGCAATCCGAGTAATGGATGGAATTCTGGATAAACTTCTGCAGGCAGTAAATGGGATACAAACACACAAGCAAATGAACAAACATATGCTTTTAGAACTCTTGTACTAACTATTCTATTCACCCTCAAATCTGGAAGAGGATAACCAAAAGCATAGATATCGAGACACTGGCATGGGTGGTAAACCTTAAAACACTAATATAATTTCAGAACTCTTTTGACTATTCCACCGCTGAATTAAAAGTTTGAATAGATGTTCATAGCTCATCCATTAAGTGTAAAATTATGATGAAAGCCTCCACAACATGACCAAGGAGTTTAGATGATAAAAACAGGCATAATATTGATAAAAAGTACCTACTTTGATAAACAGGAATGGTCAATTTGCAATATTCCAGAGCTCCTTGCCAGTCTTCTTGATCCATCAACATCTAAAGGAAATTTCATCACATCTCATCAGACGCTGGTGATACTGTCAAGCATTATATGACTACAAGACGGATTTCATGATACATACAAAGAAGAGGGAATGCAGATATCACCTTGAGAAGCTTTTCACGAGTTTGCAACAAAATAACTGTATAGGGGTGGAAAAGTTTCCTTTGCATCTTCTCAACATGTTTAAGAACGCAGATTGATTCCTTGGCATCTAAGTAATGAGGTAAGGTTGACAAATTAATATCTGCTTAGCCTTTGCAACAATAAATGTACAGGGCTTCATAAATTTTTGAGAAGTGAAACCACTCTCAGTTCAAATGTTTAGATGGATACTGTTATTGGACATAGACTTCTGAGCTTCTTCAGACAACCCATTTATTTCTGCAGCCAATTTTTGTAATTCTTCCTTGCTTCTCAGCTTTCTGCAGGATTGGCATACAAATTTTTTGTTGTCTGCAAAGGAACAAAGTTACTGAATAGCTGCTTAGGCAAAGGATCCACTGGTTGGCCTCAGTACACTATCACAAAAGTATCTTATACCAGAATCACGGAGTAAGAAGCCATTGCATTTTTCGTTTGTGCACCGGTAACCTTCCAAAATGGCACTTTCCTGAACATCATCTGGCTGACCCTGCAGTACACTTGTATGCAATTAAGTTTACATAGCTTTATGCTGTATCATATAAAGAAACCTACAGGCTACAATTCAAGGGAATTATTTCTTCCCCCTGATTCTCAAATTTCTTTTTAACAGAAATCTGTGACAAGTGACAACTTGAAGTCTAGAATGAACCACCTAAAGAAGCAGATGAACCTGCTACATATCTGATTTAAACTTTATACCGACACATAAATAGACATCTAGAAAACCTTGCTTAGATAAAGCCCTTTAGTAATGAACAACGGCTTTTTAGGCAGAGATGTAGTATGTACCACTTTGATGCAACGGAGGCAAGCACACGTGAAAAAGTATTGCTCTTTCAGAGTCTTTTGCCGAGTCGCAGTACTTCCAGCAGTCTCGATGTAAGATATGAGTACCTTGCAGGATGAAATTACATATCATGCCTTCCCTTCTGAATGGTACGTCATCTTATGACATTTTATTACAATCACAAAAGTGTAACATGAACATAGTTTCCCTGGAGCACTAAAGAATTACTGGGTACGGAAATGTGTAAGAAAGGATAAAACAGAGTATGCCTACCTTACCTCACCACCTTTCGGTATATGTTCCACGGCTCTTACCACCGCTAAACTTCCTTCAAATACCAGAACAGCATTTGGCAAGCAGCTGTAGGAACAAAAGACATAATAGTTAACTCAGAAGAAAGAAAGTAAGACGAAGGAAATATAAAATAGTCATTCCAAGCTACGTACCTATGATTGATGATGGATATAACTGGATAGAGGCCTGTCCCAAGGGGCCTCAGTTCACTGTCAGAGATGGTATGAGCATTGCAAGCTAGCTGCACGTGTTGACAAACAACGAGAACCAATCATAACAAGAATCAAGACTTGGATTGCATTACAAAAGGAATTCAGATAACTCATTTAGCTACCAGTGTTTCAAATCATACCCACTAGACCTATGACAGGGGGGAAATGTCTAACTATTTGATAACTGCTCAGACTAACACAAAATGGTATCTTCACCTGAGGTGCACAGCTTAAGATCAATATCCTTTCGCTTTCCCCAATTCAAAGGAAGAATCTTGAATTGAGACATAGGATGTGATAAAGCAACTAAATTCCAAACCTAAAGTATCTGGCAGAACCATGAAACAGAGCTAAAACAGCCAGATGAAGAGCTAAATGACATAATAATGTTGTTCTGACCCTCGAAAAATTTTGGGCAATTTCTTTGACGTTGATCTCAGAGTCAGGCCATTGAAGAATCAGGTAGACAAGGTTGGCCATCTGAGCATACAGCAGGAGTTGTTTCTCGTCAATGTCTTCCATGTCTTTCCCAAAGAGTTAAGCAAAACAATCTAGCAACTGAATCTCAATTACACAATAACATTGCAGAATTGTATTTGGTAAAATAAAACCGCACATGGTCAAAAGGATACGAGCCACCAATGCATCCACCAGATTATAGTTCGCTGTTGGGGTTGCTGAGATGACCTGGATAAGAGAATTAAGTGCAATAAGCCAACATGTTCAATGAGTACCAGAAAACATCACAAGCTCGAACAGTTGAGTGCAACAAATAATGGCATAGAACTTACCTTCTCGCTTTCCAGTTTCCTTCTAAGATAAAGCTTCAGCATCAAACGGATGGTAGGAGTAACAGACTTCCGCCTGCCCTTTTCCAGCTTGGAGAGCATATTGCACTCTAGACGATGCAGTTGCCATTGTGATTTCTGAAAAAAACAAACACAAGCCCACGCAGGCACAGCATGTCAATGATCGATCCAGAGAATAATTTGTTTGTTTTACTTCTTCTTCACTCGATAGTAACTGAAAGTAAGGAAAATGAGCGCAAGTATCAAACTTTTGACAATGGTCGAAGCAATCATGGAAAACCCAAAACCATGGTCTCGTTGCAAACTTCGTAGAAGCGAAACTACTGAATACTTTCAACCGAGCAAATACTAACCTGGCAAGTGGTCCCACAATACCACACAACTTGACAACCGGAGCACTTCTTGAGGTTACTCGTCGTGAAACATCCATCGCACCGCGATTCACCCGAACTGTTGTTTGGAACACACACGTACGGATTCTGACTTATTATAACTTCCCCTGAAACCTTGCAACGGGTTTATGCTCAGCAACCGTTCGACGAAATGCCGCAACGAAGCAAATTATGGATTTTGCAGTTCCCGAATGGGTAGAGGAAAACCTGGATAGAAATCTTTGTCGGCCAAAAGGCATCGACCTTTGTATGGCAGATTAGAAACAACTAAGCCTCGAGATCGCAACGCCATTCTCAAACCCTCCATTCCAGCAGCGAACCAATTGTTCTCTCTCTCTCTCTCTCTTTGACAAAAGGCTTGCAAATGGGTTGGCAATCGACTGTAGTGCCCGCCCCCGCTCGCAATATTGTGGCGCCAAATTCTGAATTTGATCTTCCTAGAGAGAGATGAGAAGCATTCAAATGACCGGGCGATAAAAAGCTGGCAGCTAGTCCGTTGCTTGCTTCCGCTCCTGTGTTGAGCTGGATTTTGGTTTGATTACGGCGAAACTCGGTTTTAGTGATGGATAAATGAGCAGCAGTTCAAAGTCTAAGGAGAATCTCGAGACAGTAGCAGAAGTTCCGAGACCGGAAATTTTGGGCTAAACCAATCTGGGCCGTTGGGTTCAAAATGAATGAAGCCCACGAAAAGGCTAAGATCCCTAGTAATGTGACTAAGGGATCGTTTGGAAATTGCGATAGTTTTGTTGAGATTGTCATTATGCATGTATTGTTTACAATGCATCATTTTTTTGTTTTTTAGCAGAAACAATACATGGATTGTTTCTGTGATGTGACAGAAATTATCACTCATTTTGAGTGATTGTTATATCTCAACTTTTAGTTGTGATTGTTGAGATAGTTGAGTTGAGATTGTTTTGTCTCGGCTTTTAGCTGATGCTACGTACACAATCACACATATCAAACGTTGTATTCTACAATGCATCAAATTCGAAAATACATGTATAATATTATACGTGCATTCTCAACAATATATCTATTTAACAATCGCAACTTCCAAACGACCCCTAAGTGCATGTCAGCCATCCAACTTAATTAAAATCTAATGGCTATAAATAATATAATTCGATGAAGGGTAGAGTAGTAAATTCATATTTTATTTATTTAACAATAAAAAAATCATTGTTGGCGGCTTGGCGCCTCCCATCTTCCGTCCCGTCTTCCGCCGGCCTCCCATCTTTCATGCGCCGGTCACGGTTCCTCCCGCCTGGGAAATAATATCCGAGAGAAAGAGAGGTGGTCTTGAGGAATTATTTCCCCAGCTTCCTTGCGGGGAGAGAGGGAGGGAAGGAGGGAGGGAGGGAGAGAGAGAGATTTACAGCAATAATGGCAGTTTGTTATGTTTGTCGGACTATTTTGTAATGTTTGTAAGTCTGGTTTGTAATTTTGTATTAATTCGCTTTATATCATTTATTATTTTATTTTGTCATTTTTATCTTTTATGTTTGTAATGTTTATATGACTAATTTGTATATATTGTAATGTTTATTTGTTTTGTATACTTTGTATTTATTGGTTTGTAATTCCAATTAGGGTTGATAAACGGTTATCCGGTTAACGGTTTAACCGGTGACCGGCGGTTCTTGGTAAACCGTTAACCGGGCGGTATCGGTATTCAGTGGGAGAAACACAGTTAACGGTATACCGACCCAGACTCGGTTAATCGGTATACCGCTTATACCGATATATAATCAAAAACCACATTTTTCCACCAGTTTAGTGGCTTCTATCCTCTCCCCTATTCTCTCCTCTGTCCATCTCCATCGACCAAAAATCCCCTCTAAACCCATAGACACCCTCCTCTCCTCTGTTCTCTCCTCTCTCCATCTCCATCGAGAAACAATTCTCTTCAAACCCATAAATAGATTAAACCCCTCCTCTTCTCTTTCTCGATTTGTTGACCTGGACCACGCCGTACCGATTTGTCATCTTCGGAGGGTCTCCGATACGTCACCAGATCTGGAAAGTAGCTATTGAAAGAGCTTTGTGTTCTTCATCGGCTCGTCGGTACTCACCCAACCACCGCCTTTCTCCACTCCTCTGCTGCCTTCGCCGTTGCTATGGAGAACCCAGAACTCGATTCCTGATTTTGTTGGGAAAATACGACGAGTCGCTCTCGATCTGCCTCTCGATTCCAGATCGGGTGTCATGCAAACTCCTCGCGGGACTGCTCTCTCTTCCTCTCGAGGCTAGATTCGGCGACATGCTATCTCCCTCGCGCAGCGGTGCTTAGTCCCTCTCGATTCCAGGCCCGGATACATCGCCAGTGACTAGCTCTGCCTCTCGAATCCAGATTCGGAGCCATGCAACTCCCTTGCGCGGCGGCGCTCTGTTCATCTCCAGACCAAATCTCTTTTCTCTCTCTATTTCAGTTGCAGAGTCGCGGTCGTGACATGATACTGGTCACTCGCCGCCGAGAAAAATTCATCATTGTCGGGGTTATAAGGTTACCGGGTTCGTAACCGGTAACCGGCTATTCGATAAACGGTAAACCGACCATTTTTCGGTACCGGTAGTCGGCAGTGGTTTTCCCTAATCTGGTATACCGTTAACTGGTTACTCGGTTACCGGTAACCGACCGACTACCAGCCCTAATTCCAGTTTATCGATTTGTATTATAAGTAGTGGTATTTTGTGCAGTTAGTATGATTTGTATTGTTTTTCGTTTTATTTGCTAATGTTTGTACGCTTTGTTATTTTTTGTTCACCATTTTTGTCAACCATGTTTGTAATGTTTGTATACTTCTGATTTGTATTGTAAGTAGTTGTAATTTGTACATTTAGTATGTTTTGTATACAATGTTAGTATTATTTGTATACTTTTATGATGGTGGTTTGTATACTTTTATGATGTGGTCTGTATACTTTGTAATATTTAGTAGTGATATTTTTTGTTTTTAGTAATCTTTATATATAATTTTAACTTAAGTTGTATACTTATATCATGTCTATCTAATACTTTTTAATATTACTTTCTATACTTTTATGATATAGTTTGTATACTTTGTATTATTGATTTGTAAAGAAATTTACATCGATTTGTATTGTAAGTAATTGTATTTTTTATACATGGTAATACTAGTTCGTACATATTTATGATATGATATGTACAATTTTATATTCTGATTTGTAAATCATTGATTTTTGCATTTCATTATAATGTTTGTACATGATTTATTTTTACTTTGTGTATTTTTCTGGGTACAGATTGCACATTTTGGATGTTACTTTGTGATTTTTATTTTTAAAATAGAAAAAATCTAATAAAAAAAGAAACAAAGAACACGCATGGTAGTCGGCAGTGGTTTTCCCTAATCCGGTGTTACATTTGGTGTTTGGGGTAGTTGGAGGTTTGATTCTAGTGGTTCTTGAGGTTGGGGGTTTTGTTATGAGGGAATACTGTTGGCTAAAATGGGTTTGAAATGGCGGCAGAGGAAGAAGGGCTTGGATGAAGAACGTGAAAGCAGTTTCAGTGAAGGTGCTTTACTGTTGGCTAAAATGGGTTTGAAATGGTTTGGTTTCTTAGAGCTGGATCGAGCCACAAATGTTTTTTCTTCTAAGAACTTGGTCGGAAAGGGCACATTTGAGATTGTGTACAGAGGAAAGCTTGAAGATGCCTGTTTGGTTGCAGTTAAGGAGTTGGAGGTTAAACAAGAGGTTGTTTATAAGCCTTCGCAATCAAGAAGTTTTGCGCTCATAATTGGTTGGAGCACTATCGAGGGTGTGCTTGGCGTGTTCCAAACCATCAATCTAAGCAATCCACATAATAGATCAAAATTAATTAAACCTTAAAACAAAATAATTATACTACGAGGGAGATTAGGATGACTTACCAACGAACCCATCACAGCACTTTGCTTTGACACCCATCTATTGGTGAACTTCCGATACCACTGCATGTACCCATCATGGTATCGCATAGGCCTCGTCTCCGGCATCCCTTGGACCACCCATGTCCTCTATTCTCCCAAATGTTGATGTAGAACTGATACAAAATTTGCAATTAGTGACCATTTACATTGAAAGAATTTAAATTGTTAAAATATGATAAAGCATGATTACCTGGTTCCACCAAGGCTTATCTAACTCAGAACAATAAAACAGTAAAGAGTGCTCAGGTTGATGGTCGTTCGTATTTGCTGCTATCCACCTTGTAAGTAAAAGAACATAATAAATTTAAATGAAATATAGCTAAGCATGGAATAAATTTAAATTAGGCTAAGTACGGAATAAATTTAATTGAAATATAGCTAAGCAAGAAATAAATTTAAATTAGGCTAATTATGGAATAAACTTAATTGAAATATAGCTAAGCATGGAATAAATATAAATTAGGCTAAGTACGGAATAAATTTAATTGAAATATAGCTAAGCATGGAATAAATTTAAATTAGGCTAAGTACGGAATAAAAATTTAAATATAGCTAAGCATAGAATAAATATAAATTAGGCTAAGTACGAAATAAATTTAATTGAAATATAGCTAAGCATTGAAATAAATTTAAATTAGGCTAAGTACGGAATAAGCTTACTTGACACCGTAGGGGGGATTTTGCACAAAGTGTAGCTCATCATCTGCTCTCCGGTATGGACGTGGGTCTTCAGGTGCGAACATTGGAAGATGCTCCCATACCCAGAGCTGGAGGATGAACATCGCAGCACCAGGTTGTTTCGCTCCCAACTTCGAGCAAGTACACAGCTCCCGCCTCCCGGTATACGCCAGCTAACACGGCCGATCCCCAACTCTTTTTCCCTATTGTGTCCCAATCACCAAGGAGCAATGGCAACCATATGCCTTGAATCCACCGGTTTGACTTGTCGGGGAACAGAAATCCACCGACCAAACCAATGAGGTAGATGCGTGCATAGCGCTCCACTTGATCTTTCGGTGTCTCGTTGTCGATGGCCACCTCATTTTGGATGTGAGTAAAGAGCCACGGACCGACACTTGTCCGGCATTCAATGGTGGATGCCCCCGTCCTTGAATTGGTGTGGTGGTCGGCATGTCAAAGCGCAAGCGATCACGAATGAGCGGCCCCCAACCTCCTTCGAGTTTGGTAGTGCTCCCAATGATGGCCTCTCCAAAAATCGGCAGCCTAGTGAGGATCACAACGTTTTGAGGGTGATCGTCATTTCCCCCTCCGGAAGGTGGAACATATGGGTTTCGGGGCGCCATTGCTGTAAGCAGATCATTGTCAATTTCGATCCGCATGAAATGCCTTAGCAAACCCAACCCGGTCTTCTCTATATAGGGCGCCAACCGATCATGCCAAGCGGGCAAGTTTGTGGTCCCTTTATGAACGACGAGAATAAGTGATTCCTACAAAAAAATAGGAAAAACATCAATTTGTTAGTTTAAAGAAAGCAAAATAATACCATAGAAAATAATAAAATAAAACAAGATAAATCATCAATTTACCGGATTGTTATCCCAAATAGCACGGGAGCGATGTACTTGTTGATCGGTTAAATACCTCGTATCTCTTGGGCCATAATGGATATACAATCGAGGATCGTATATCTCGACACCCATCTATAAAAAAAAGTAATGGAATCAGATTGTTTTGATTAAAATAATCACAAAATCAAATTGTTTCGATTAAAAAAAATCACAAAAGAAAAACAAAAAACCTACCCGAAAAGCCTCTTCGTCCATTTTTTGGCGGAAGCCGGACAGAGGTTTGACGGATTTACAAGGGACGGGGGCTTTAGGGTATAACTCTAGTAATTATTTTTTATGTGGAAGATCAGACTTAGTCGCAACCATATAGCATATTTAGAACGAGACTAGAGTGGATAGATTGAGGGAGAAAGAAGTGTAAATGAGGTGGTGTGATTTGGAAGGGGGGGGAGGGGGGGGGGGGGGGGGGGGGGGAGGTTCTTTTTATAGGGAGGGAAGGGAGGGATCTGCGAAAATAAATGGAGAGCAATCACCGTCTTTGACAGCGACAGTGAATGCATCGCCTTTATTGAAAACGGTGAGCGACGCGGATCGAGTGGTGTGGCTTGCTGTGAGGCGTCGGATCTGGGAAGAAAACCACGACCTGCGCCTCACCGCATCCAACGACAACGGTGAGTGGATAAGCGACGCGGATTGCTGACGTGGACAAACGCGATGCATTCACCGTGTTGGACAACATGGTGAATGCACCGTGTTTGTCCATGTCAGCAATCCGCGGAGCATTCATCGTGGCACATTGAAACGGGGAGCATTTACCGCGTTTGGGCAAAACGGTGATGTTTTCACTGTTTTCTTTTAAAACGATGAATGGGTCCCTCGTTGTTCACCGTTTTTGTAAAAAACGTTTAACACGTCATCGTTTTATTAAAAAACGGTGAAATGTTCACCGTCTTTGTCAAACACGGTGATTATATTCACCGCGTTTGTCAAAAACGGTGAATGTGAAACATGTGTACTTTTGAATTTTTTTTAATAATTTATGTATTTTGGGAGTTTATTTTAAAAGCTAATTATGTACTTTGAAACTTTTTCCAACTTTTTCCATATATCTAGACTATATGAAGCTAAAGGGATTGGGAAATTAACCCTCAACCCAATGACCAAGACTTGTTTACTTTAATTTCATTATTCACATTATTTTTTATCTTTTCCATAATTCCATTCGTTGGTCTTGTTTGACAACCTTACAATTACCACAAATTAACATTCATACAAAAATTACCACAAATTAACTAATTAAAAAAGTTAAATCCTTAATATTCATCGTGCTGGCCAAGGCATCATAAAACAATAAGAATACTTTCTACCAAATGAAAAAATTTAGAATACCACCCATCCAAACCCTAAGGAACTTTCTCACATCCTGCGGCCGCGCGCCGTCTCATCTTTCAGACGCCGCCGGTAATTCTCGAGGTCCTGCTCTGAGTCGGAAGCCATTTGCGTCTCTGCCAGAGGAAGGTTATTCTATTTCTTTTCACCGTCGTTCTACTCTCTCAACAATCAGCATGTCGTCGTCGGAGCCCCAGAACCCACCGCCGGAGCAAGGCGAGGAGGAAGACGCCAAGGCTACAAGCAAGAAGGCGGCGAAGAAGGAGGCTGCGAAGCAGGAGAAGCTGCGCCGGAAAGCGGAGGCAGCTGCCTTGGCAAAGGCGGCTTCCTCTCTCGCCGTCGAGGAAGAGGATCCCCTCGCCGGGAACTACGGCGATGTACCGCTGAACAAGCAGCAATCGAGAGAGGAACTCGATCTCAGTGCGTGGACGAAGGTGAGGGAGCTGAATGCGGAATTGAAGGATAAGGAGATCCTGATTAGAGGCCGAGCTCAAACTGTGCGCCCCGTTAGCAAGAACATGGCGTTCGTTGTGGTTAGAGAGAGTGGGTTTACGGTTCAGTGCGTCGTCACTGTTCAGCCTGAGATTGTGAGCCGTCCGATGGTGAAGTTCATCTCAGGTTTGACTAGTGAGTCAATCGTTGAAGTTCAGGGGATCGTCTCCGTGCCCAATGTTGCTATCAAGGGAGCTACCCAGCAGGTCTTGCCTTCTCTCTTTTTTCCATTCATAATCCAGATTTTCTCGTAATGATTGTTGTTGCAACCCTTCAATTGCTTGGAGTTTTAGGCATTGTGAAGAATCGAAATGCCAGCCAACCATTAGTGTTAACCCTAAACATAATTGATGTTCCCATTGAAAATGGAGTCTGAACCAGAAGTTATAGATATAAGCAAGTTTCTGGTTATAAGTTAAATAGATCCTCTATTCAACTTAAGGGGGACTACTGTTATGCAGACTTTGGAAATAGAGGCTGGACAAATTTTCATGCGCTCGTAGATATCTAGTGCGGCATACTTTGGACGTTGGAGGTTTTCGTACCCTGCAGTTTTGTTATTGGTCTGATTCTACGTTTCATTACAGGTTGAAGTCCAAGTTAGGAAACTCTACTGTGTTAACAGGGCCCTGCCAACTCTACCAATCACTATTGAGGATGCTTCTAGAAGTGAGAAGGAGATTGAAGAAGCTTCTAAGGTGCAACTACGTTTCTGTCTCTGTCTGTCTGCAATTTATAATTTATTGGATGTTGATGCTGCTAACTATGCTTATTAAGGGAAGGGTGAAGTTAGCTGAAATTTGGACAGAGATGACTAATTTTTAAAGGGGAGATTCTGACTGTCTTTTGTTACAGACTGGGGAACAACTTGTCCGCGTTAATCAAGACACGCGCCTGAACAATCGGGTTATCGACTTACGCACACCGGCTGGCCAAGGGATTTTCCAAATTCAAAGTGAAGTTAGCTATGTAAGACCCTTTTCCTTCAAACTGTTTCTTTTTTATGTGGTAACTTAATCAAGTATGCTAGATTGGATTTGAGAGCTACTGGGAAGTTGCACTCCTAGTTTCTGCCAATTTATTAGTCAGGATTAAGCTTTAGCTTTGCTTTCTTAGGTTAAGCACTGCCATTAAATGCACTGTCAATTATCTCTCCCCAGTTGATGTTGTTGGAAGGGACAATGCGAGGTCCTTCAGAGCCCATGCTTAACTGCTTAAGTGTGGGCTGTTTCATGATTCTTCCATTGCCTTCCTAAGCATGACCCTGCTTTTGACATTCTAAGTTTAGCTCCATTTGGAACTACTTAGTTATTGTTGATGAAGTCATCGTTTGTTGATTCATAGATATTCATCTTTCTGCGGTAGACAGCTGACTCGACCCGCTCTTTTGTATTTGAAATGCTTTAATGAGAATATATTGGTGGAATTTTGAGCCTAATTGTCTAATCTTTCTCTTAAATTAATATCCATCTATAGGTGTTCAGGGAATTTCTTCATACAGAGGGATTTGTAGAGATCCATACTCCAAAGCTGATAGCAGGTAGCAGTGAGGGGGGTGCTGCTGTCTTCAGGCTGGATTACAAGGGGCAACCTGCCTGCTTAGCACAATCACCTCAGCTTCACAAACAAATGGCCATTGCTGGAGATTTTGGACGAGTGTTTGAGGTTGGTCCAGTTTTCAGGGCAGAAGACTCATATACTCACCGGCACTTGTGTGAGTTTACTGGTCTTGATGTGGAAATGGAGATTAAGAGTCACTATTCTGAGGTGGGATTTTCTTCTTGATGTGACGTGAGAAACCAAGTTGATTACTATGTTAGACGTTGTTGTGAGTTGAGCAAAATTGTTGATGCAGGTAATGGATGTTGTGGACAAGCTATTTGTCACTATGTTTGACAGATTGAATGAACAGAAGTGCAAGCCGTACCTTGAAGCTGTAGCTAAGCAACATCCATTCGAGCCATTGAAGGTGATTATCATATTCCCTTTTGTGGATGGTGGAGTTCTTCACTAGACATCTTAGTTAGTCTTTGGTTCATGGATACTGATTTTTTGCATTTTTTGGATGTGTTCAGTACTTGCGGAAGACATTGCGCCTAAAATTTGAAGAAGGCATTCAGATGCTGAAAGTAAGGAAATCATTCAGTATTGTGCGTCTATGTGTATGAAAGGCAGTCCATACTTCCTCATCATTTGGCTTGGAAACATATTATAAATCAATGAGCTTTTCTGTTTATCTTGGATTTCTGTGAATTGATACAAGTAGCAGAAACAGCTTTATTGATTACTAGTAGACTTAATGTGGGATCTGACCTTTTCCAAGCATAAATGTAATGTTGCATAGTCAGCCTACTATTACATTCGCAATTAAGTACTGCAACTTGGTTTTCTATATATGTTTTTCTCCTGTAATTTCGTATATGTTAATACCTTGCAGGATGCTGGAGAGGTAGTGGACCCCTACGGTGACCTGAATACAGAAGCAGAAAGAAAGCTGGGCAACCTTGTATTGAAGAAGTACCGACATATTAGAGATTGTTGTCAGACAGTTGCTTTAGTTGTATACTAATCGCTTTTTGCTGATTACTTTTGTGGGTACTTCTGTTTTGTAGATACGGCACTGAGTTCTATATTCTCCACCGCTATCCATTGGCTGTCAGGCCATTCTACACAATGCCATGCCATGATGATACAAAGTACAGCAATTCTTTTGATGTCTTCATTCGAGGTAAAGTCTTTTCGCGTTTTGTCACATATTCTCTTTTGGGAATTTCACTATTGACTAGAGAAAGTGGGTTCAGCACACAAGGACTTAATAATTGTTCACCGAAAATGTGTGCTTTTGTTTGTTTTTATGGTTGCAACTTGTGTCTTATTTGGTCAATTTTACATACACATCAGGGGAGGAGATCATTTCAGGAGCTCAGCGTGTTCATGTGCCTGATCTACTGGAAGAACGTGCCAAGGCATGTGGTATTGATGTCAGCACAATCTCAACTTACATAGATTCTTTCAGGTACATTCTGCTATCCCAATTGATTAAATCACAGCCTGTGGAAGTGCTGTAGCTAAGGATAAGCTCATGTACTTTGTCATAGTTCATAGTCCATAGTTCATAGGCATTGCAGTTGCAGTTTGGGTTGTGTGTGGGAATATCCTATATGGGACGCACTTGCTTTGCTTAAAGAAGGAACACTTGCATTCAGTTGTGGAAGTGCTATGGTATCAAGTTTTGTTTTTGGTAAACGAAGATACCTTCTCTTAATCTGCTGCCTTAATGAATCCTTTTTTTTCCCTCTCCAACAGATATGGGATGCCCCTACACGGTGGTTTCGGAGTGGGATTGGAGCGCGTGGTGATGCTCTTCTGTGGTCTAAAAAATATTCGAATGACATCGCTGTTCCCTCGTGACCCTCGTAGGATCGCCCCATGATCATTGCCAGATTCCAGTTCAAGGCTCTCCTTCACTTTTACTCGAAATAATATCTGGATGTTTTAGACTGATAGCATAATTTGAAGTTGTTGTTTGCCTCTTTCTAAGAGAAGCTATTGTCAAAGATTTCATGCTTGGGCCAACTGATTACTGCACTTGTCGAGGGGAACTACAACACTTGGGATTTGCGTAGTTGTTGGTTTGTTTGTTTAGAAATATACTCCTTTTGTTGACCGTCGACTGCCCTCCTCCCTCTTTTCTTCTCGTTTCTCCGGTTCCCCTGCTTTTGTTGATTTCTATTTTCTAGTGCCCCTGGGTTCTCTTCTCCACCCACTTTCCTTTGTAGGCTTCGTTACACTCGGACGAGGGCTCGAGTCTCGACTATCTAGCTATATTTGCTCAATGGTCATCAACTTACTTCCTAACCCAATGTAATTTGCCGACTTAACAAGTCATTAAATGGCTTGAAATAAGCTTTTTGGGCAATAGTTTTCAAGGCTTTGTTATTGTTTGTTGCAACATGGTTATCAACCACAGTAAAGTGGTAATTCCTCATACATCAAGGTTACAAAAAAAAAAAAAAAAAAAATCTCATTGTGTTTGTTTGGTGTTGGTGGGAGGAGAATGACATTGATGAAAGTACTCATTGGAAGTTATTATCTTCATTCCTTCAACAACTTGAACATTCTCCACTACTTTGGCATAGAATTAATCAGAAGTGGCTAGCAGTAGCAGGCCATGATTCACTTAATTCAGAGGAAATATGCTTTTGGATTGAGTTGCTTGATACGCAAGTCATTTGGATATAAGACATGTCACCACTTATGGATTAGAAGATCTTTCTTAGTAGTGACGATGAAAGAACTTTGGAAGCGCCTGTTGGACCACATAATTACCCTCAACTGAATTCTAATAGAGCAATGTTTACTATTATTAATTAGCGACAGTACATCAGCTTGGAAATATGTCCTAATCCAATTAGTTAACAGCAACAAATATGTCCTAACAACATGTAGAAAAGAAGCGTGAGCAAGTACTAGAGATCTGACAAGCCATCTAATCGCATAAAATCTTGGAAAGTAATGATCATGGTTTCATCGTTTCGCCAACCCACGAACAACACTCGAAGAAGACAACGACTCACGAGACAATGGTGGTGGCCTGTCGGGTAGGTTGGGAACTTCAACTGTCACCCTCCAACATCCTCAAAGCCTCGGCCATTGTAGGCCTGTGATCAGCAACGACATGTGCACAAAGAATCCCCGCTAGTACGAACCTCCTCATCTCTCCTCTACAGTAGTACTCCTCATCTTTCGACATCAGTGTCTCGTCGAAAACTTGGTCCACGTTGCCCGATTTCACTAGATTCCACGCCCAATCCCTGATCAACACTACTGCCGATGACGATGAGCTACTAAAGTTCGAGTTGTCAATCACCTTTCGTGCTGACGCGATCTCGAGTATTAGAATACCGAAGCTGTAAACATCGTTCTTTTCGGTCAAGCGTCCATACATTGCATACTCGGGTGCTAAATACCCATGTGTGCCAGCCAGCCTTGTAGTGACATGGGAGCTTCCATCATCTGTAACTTGCCTGGCCAGACCGAAATCACCGACTTTAGCTCTTAGATCTGAATCCAAAAGTACATTGCTCGATTTGATGTCTCTATGATAGATCGCAGGCTTCACCCCACAGTGCAAGTAGCAAATCGCTTTAGCCACATCAAGAATCACGTTCTTCCTCTGCTCCCAGCAAAACTGCATTCTGGCTGTCACATTGGATAAATGATCTGCAACACTGCCATTCGCCATGAATTCGTACACAAGAAACCTCCTCCGCTCTTTCGTGTCATCGCAGTAGCCTTGTAGGGGGAGCAGATTCCTGTGTTTGATCTTGCTTATGACCCTAACCTCGTTGGCGAATCCTCGGTCGTCCTCCTCATCCTCGTAGGACTCGATCTGCTTTAGAAGCTCTTTGACAGCAATTTCACTGCCATCATCTAGTGTTCCTTTGTACACAACCCCAAAAGTCCCCTTCCCCAGCAACTTCGAAAACCCATTTGTCGCCTGCTCCAACTCTTTCAGACTGAACAGTCTGATACCAATTTGAGCCAGCAAAAGATTATCACTTTCGTTGGAAATATCCAAATCCGGAGCATTGAGCCTTCTCCAATTACGCAACCTAGTCTTACAAACCAATGCCATTGCCAATCCAATTGCTAGAACCAAACCTCCAATTACACCAAAAGCCATTTGAAACACCCTTCCTCTGCTGCTCCGACCCTTTTCTTGGCTGCCTGTGTGAGGCTCTAGTTCAGCTGTAAGCCGGGAGTAAATGCAATTTGACGTTCTGTCATCCAAAGGGCCATACTGATTAACAATCCCAACAGCATACAACAAAGAGAAGACGAAACAGTCGGTGCGATTAGAACTCGAATGTGCTGACATTCGAGTACTCACGCTATCAACTTCCTCGAAGCATGTATTGCAGCTGGTGGAGCTCGTTAGATCTGCTTCACAAGAAGTGGTCAATGAAGGAGTTGTACCGACCGTTTTGTTCCAGTCTTTCAAAGTGAAGATTCCAGGGCAGGTTGTAGGGCTTGCGAGGAAGATGAGAGATGGGTTTCTAAAGCATATGTGGGCTGCTGGATCGAGCCCTGCATCGGTGAGCTTTTGTTGGACAGTTGAGAGACAGTGGGGAAGGGAGGAGGAATTGGGAAGGAAGAAGTTGAAGGTTTGTTTGAGGTATAGAGCGAATCCGACATGGATGAGAGCGTGGATTCGAAGGCAGCAGTCGAGAGAGTACGGGTCGTGGATGCAGTAGGATTTCTGCCATGGGAAGGTATCCATGTACGTGAAGTTCACTGGACATGATGGAGAGATGATGCTGGTGGCTGAAACTGCTGCAACTAACGTAGAAGTGAAGAAGAAAAACAGGGGAAGAAGAAAGAAGTTGACAAACATCTCTTTGGAATATGGCGCTGCCTTTGCTACATTGCATTCCTATCCAATTTTGCCTTTAAAGGGTGGCCATTCGCGTTCTAAAAGCTACATGGTTTTCAAATTATTGGTCTTAACATAGTTATATTAGGAGATGAGCCAGCCGCAAGCCCGCAAGAAGAGGTTTGGAAAGGGAACTCAAAAATAAAGCGTTAAAGTTGCTGACAATAGTATAGAAAACTATGCAGCTGTGGAAGATGTCAAGATAAGGCTGCTACAAACCCAATTTGCTACATAAAAAATTTGTAAGCCTACCGAAACTGATCTGGAAAGGGCAGCATGGATCATATTGAAATACTGTTACTCACTGAAACACAACGAGCGACGACTCCAATATATTATTCCCCCTGAAGCATCTCATTGAGGCACCATTGCTTCTTCATCCTTGAAGCAACTTGCCCACATGATTTTTAGCTTTCTAGAGATTTGCTGCATAAATATGGTTGGTGGTTCTGAAAATTCTCGGCTTCATACTATTTAATAAGAATTGGCAGTTCTACATAGTCTAGGGGCAGGGATCAAAACAGAAAGGTTCATATCCAAGTTCTCTATTCAAGGAAGCAACAATAAGCTGGAATCATTCCAACATTTTCTAGTTACCCTATAGATGATGCCCTATAGTTGGAGTCTGCATACAAAATGACCACGTGATGCATCTCCTATGTTGCTTCGGAAAGGATATCAAAATGGTGCAACCTCACATTCCCAGATAATTTGATAACTAAGTTGCGAAGAGCAGTATCATGTCAATGTCTCCTTGTTTTGGATTCAACTTTAGATTGAGCAATCCCGGAAAGCTTGTTCACCTCGTATAGTAAACCACCCGAGAACAAGAAACTGCCAGCAGATGATAGCAAAAGGATCAGCATCAATACTTATGTGCAATATAATTACTTCTTTCAAAGATAAACAAAGACGAAAAAAGGTTCTTTCTGCATAACAAGGCACAGCTAAGTTCAACGAAAAGTAAGTTCATTCAGTAGACCAACAAGCATTGCGCCTTCCATTACTTAATGAGTAATAGCATAACTACATGCTTAAAGAATATGAACACATATAATGTTCCATCACAAAGAAAATACCCTTTAAATTACTGCCAAGTAGTGCATGTGGAACCAAAGCAAGAAGTAGAAACCTAGACCACATTTTACTCAAAGATGACTTGCAGCTTTAATTGCATAAAATGGCCTCGCAGCCATTGGGGATCTTTCTTCTATAGTATCACAACCATAACTCAAGGAATGACATGCCAAAAGTCACACTCATATCAATGGAATCAAGGGAAGCAAATCAAAACATGGGTACATAACAGGGTTAAGAACTCGCTTGCAGACGATGTCTTCCCAAACAAATATGTTACTACAGACAAGAATAAGTAGAATTAAACGAGTAGTAGTGTTAAAACATTACCAAGTTGTTATGCAAACCCGATGTACAGTTCCAGCTGCAATTAGAGCAACAACTTCAGCCAATACAACTGTTCAGAGAGAAACTGTTAGTCAGAAATTGTAATGATGATGCTTCAGAATAAATGTTATTTTGATGTAGTGTACAATAATGACAAAACATATTGATAATGCAAGGGAAAAGGAGCTGAAAACTTATCGACGTTTATAACTGAAGGGAAGTCAGTAAGGCTATAAGCAGTGTTTGTAGGCAAGCTTAATGAAGATTCACTATAATGACTACCAGGCACCATGAAAATACCCCATGAGCAATAAACATACTGCTTTGAAAGAAGGAGAAGCAAAACAAAGAGAACTAAAAGAACTCACCAGCACCCCATCCGGTCTTCATGCCATTTGATTCCTGGAAATTACCAATGAACTGCAAGACAGAATTGAGACGCACAGCATCACATCAAAACTTGTTCCAAGTTACAGAACAACTTACAAGCAATGTATGAGATACTACATGAAACAGAATACACCAGCTCGGGAAACTAACATTTGATCGTCAGGATCACATCATTAACATAGATTATGCCGTTATGGCGATATCAGCATAATAGCGAAGAAGAAAAAGTTCCAGAACATGTGAAAAATGGAGGAAAAAAATCAATTCCGAGACTTCAAAACTAAAACACGATCAAATTATCCAAGCTAGAAGTAATGGATAATGGGGTTTGAGGGGTGTGAGAGAGGATAACACATAAAAGTTCATAGTTTCTTGACGTTATCGCTACGAAGACTGATTCTACACTGGTATGAAGCATCAAACTTCAAAAGGCATCGAAACATGTAAATTCCCATATCCCAAACTCATCCATATAGAAAATAGAGGGAAGCCAAAGTAAAGCACTATATCCATCGTTCTGCTATTTCATTTCAGGCATTTATTTAACAGAAACCAAATTAGAAGGATGCCCATGAACAAGGATTTGAAAGTAACTCACAGTTAAGAGCACAAGGAAAAGGAGAGAGCTAGTGAATCCTCCAAGAATGGTGAACAACTCGGTAGACGCCAGCTTCCCGCGGTACATCTCTTGAAGTGAAAGAATGCCCAAGAACAGAAGAAGCGAGTAAAGCATCGAACTTCCAGCTCCCGCCGCCATGTCTTGCCTTCAAATTCCATCCGGAAAAAAAAAAAAAATCAATTGCAGAGAAACGGATATCAATGATCCCGAAATATCAAAGCAGATCCATGACTTTGCAACGCACATTCAAGTTCCCAGCATATTCCAACAAATCGTCGAATCAATAGAACTCTGTCCGCTCGAAAATCTAATTGAACCAGAGGCGAGATCTAAGATCATTGGGTACAAGCACAAAAACTTCCTCGCGATTAATCAACATACAAACTCGAATAACCCTATTCAGTTTCCCCATACATTATCTTGAGATGCAAGCAGAAACAAAATTTCAAACCAGAAGAACGACGGCGAAGGCCATACCTTAATCCAATCTCTCTCCGCCTTGCCAAACTTTCTCGCTTCTCAGCGTCGACTCAGTACTTTGGACAGACTCGGCTCTCTTCCAACTTCCAAGGCAGAGGAAAATGGAGTTCTATACTTCTATTGTTCTAACTTACCAAACAGAACGGCATCGTTTACGCTATTTCACCAAACGGCTTCGTATGCTTGAAAAGATCGAAGCTTTATCTTCCGAGTTCCGTCGCTTGTTCCATTTTACCTTTGTCTGGCTCGGCGGGTAAATTGGGTAATACAAGTACTAGCATTTTAGCCCGGCCAATGGCCGGGAGGTGTCTGGCTGTCTGCATATTACTTCAAGAATATTGCATTTTAATTTTAGATAAACTAATTTCTAAATTGACATTTTTATGTTTTTTTATTTAATATAGAAGAATTTTATAATTTTATATAGCATTGGTGTACCATAATATATGAAGTTGTAACATAATTGACATAACGTTAAAGGTACAACTTGAAATATTACTTTTAATGTTATGTTACAATTTCATATTGTATCTATACTATTTTATGGTACAACATGAAGTACATGAACTTGTACATTTATGTGACGATATAATTTTAATTTTTAACGTTATAGTACAACCTAAACTTATACATTTAACGTTATAGTACAAAGTTGTACATTAAAGTACGAATTCTTTATAACATAATAGAAATGCTCTTTAATATAAAGAATGCATGTTTGTAAGCGATGATATTAAACTCTTAATCGAGAAATATTGTTTATTTACTAAATCTATCATGAACATACCATAAAAAATTCTCATTCTTTAAATATTATGTCAATTTATGGTGGTTAAACTCTTTAATATCGACCCATTCTTTTGGGGGAGTATTTCTATAATTTTATTTGTTTTAATGAACTGGTTGTTTATCAAGTTTCAGTGTAGCGTCTTATGTAACGATTTGTATAATTGAAGACAATCAAATCCATAATCTTGAATAATCTTGAATAATATCTGCTACAAATTTCTGGTGTATATATGCTCGTTCGGTGGTTAATCAGTGTCTAAAACTGTACTATATTGGTAGTTCGACCTAAAAGGTCTCATACCAATAGTTAAATCGGTTGGCAGCTTGAAATGATATGAAATGGTTAAACGATAGTTAAACCATGATTTCAGCACAAATATCCTATGTTGATTTTTTAAGTACAACCTATATGATTTACTGTCCTTATAATAAATTTGTTTCAAATTTGAAAATTCTTATTGAAATAATGAAATTTTAATGTACTATAGTAGGAACTTGCACACTTTTTTTTTGTATACTTTTGTTTGGTGAATATTATCCTGAATAAATTACCCTTTTATTTTGTTTATCTGGTGGGTGGGTAAATTTGAAATGTAGGTAAACAAAAAAAACAAACAAAAAACGGGAAAACAAAAACAAAAAAAGGGGAAAACTTTAATAGTGCCGAAACTTGCGGGCAATGCTCCGTGGCTTACGTGGCAACCGGCTTTTTCCAAACTGTTTTAATATTTTGTAAGAGATACAACTGTTAGTTGTCAGTTGTCACACTGGCGAGCTAGGCCTTAATGGAGTCGCCGGAACCCCCAGAATGTCCGGTGTGCCTCCAGCCCTACGACGGCGACGATATCATTCCCCGTGTGCTACCGTGTGGTCATACAGTGTGCGAGACATGTCTCAATAGCTTACCTGAGAGGTACAACCTCACCGTTCGTTGCCCTGCCTGTACTCAATTAGTCAAATTCCCGTCATCACAGGGTCCCTCTTCCCTCCCCAAGAACATCGATCTCCTCCGACTGATCCCTACCACGAATTCCCATCAAGACCGCTCGAAATTCAAAGCCTCGGAGCTCCAGAATGATGTCAAAGTCGACGACTTTTTGCCTCGTTTGTGGTCTCACGAGTTTTATTCGGAATGGAGGAAGTGGATTCTTCCCGACAACGCGGTTTCAGTCGAGGATAAAGGGGTACTAGATGGGTTTTTAAAGGACCATATCAAGGTAAGGCTTTTCAAGGTTGCCGGTGATTCATCGGATGGCGACGGGAAAGACTGTATGTTTAAGTTAAGCTATATAGCTAAGATCATGAATTGCCTGTTTGAGATGAATGAACTGAAGAGACGAGAATTGGGTTTGATCTTGAATATTGGTTCAGAACGGAGCAGGATTTGTAGAGTTCGTGGATTGTGGAGTGATCTGGATGATGGGTTTTTGTATTGTGTTTGTGAAAGGCTGAATGAGAGCTCTTGGTCTGAATTGTGGTGTTTGGATGATGGCGTTAGCATAGATGGGGTTTCTAGTTTTGTTATGGTTGGTATGGAAATGTGTGAAGCGGTGATGAGTTTGCATTTAGCAGGTGTAATTGCAGGTGGTTTAGGACTTTCTTGCTTTACATTGGATGATTTTGGACATGTAAGTTTATGTTCGAATCAGGTTTTAGCATTGGGTCAAACTACTTGGAAAGAAGTTTCAGAATTCGTTCGTGGAGGTAAAAGTGTTGGTAATAGAGAATTGGGAACCTTGGTTGCTGAATGTCTGAGAAGAGGAGAGTATTTGAGCCCAGAGGCATTGGGGAGCATGCTTCTTGAAGGTTATGTTCCTTCTGTGGCATATAAGTCAGATGTTTGGTCATTGGCTTTTACTTTTGCTAGACTACTTGTTGGGGAACAGTTCACTAAAGAAATGCTTGCATGGGTGGATGACTTCATTTCAGAAACAAGTGAGAAGGCCACTTTAGATTGTGCGGGTCTTTACATGGGTTTGATGGAGAAAACAAGTCATTCACTTGAAAGTAAATATGGTGAGAAGCTCCAGCCGTTACAACAACTTTTATGCAGATGTTTGAACTCTGACATAGAGAATCGCCCAGATGTGATTGAGATGTGGAAGTGCATTCGGGAGGTAATTATTAGAGGTGAGTTTGATACCAGTCCCAGGTTGATTAGTAAGGTTAGTGTCGGTGAGGGAGCCACAGGTCATTGCCTGCTTACTGGAGAATTGTGTCGGGTGGCCAAGGTAAAATCTGAGATGAATAGAAATAACAAAATACTGGAGATAGGTGATACAGAGGGGGTCGAAAATGCTGATGAATTTCAGGAGACTGGTATAGATTTTGTTGAGGGCTTGGTGGAGGGTAAAGTCAAGTCGAAAAATTTGCAAGGGCATTTTGATTGCATCACTGGATTAGCTATCGGAGGTATGTCATTTCTGTTCAGTGGGTTTAGATCCAGATTATGCTAGTTTGATAGGTTATTTGATTGCCTGATGTATTCCTTCTCTGAAATTTGTCGAGTAATAAGATCAAATTATACTTTTTCACCCTCAGCAATTTGGTGACATTTGAGTTTCTTTCTTAAGCCGTTGCTTTCTTATTCTTTGTAGTCCATTAAGCAGCAGTTAGAAAAGGTTGTCATGCTTCATATTTTCTTCTGATTCCTGAATTTGTGCTCTGACTCTTTTCCAGGGGGGTTTCTTTTTAGCTCATCGTTTGACAAAACAGTTTGTGTGTGGTCTTTACAGGTAAGCTCAAACAAAACCGACATTTCTTTGAATTTTCTCCTTAATTCCCTGCTTTAGGTGATGTTATTAGTCATAATTTTATCTTGTAGGACTTCTCTCATGTTCACACTCTCAAAGGCCACGAGCACAAAGTTATGGCTGTAATCTACTCAGAAGAAGGGCAAAAACCATTATGCATAAGTGGTGATAGTGGAGGTGGCATATTTCTCTGGACCATTCATGACCCTCTGGACCAGACATCATTGAGAAAATGGTACGAGGAGAAAGACTGGCGATATAGCGGCATTCATGCTTTAACCACTGCAGGCAATGGATATCTTTACTCTGGAAGTGGAGATAGGTCAATCAAGGCATGGGTGTTGCAGGTACCAATGTCTCTTAGCTTGCATCAACTATCACTTCATCTCATAATCGATTCCAAAAGAGATCAAAACATCATCGACTTCTGGCTTATGTCATGCTTAGGATGGTACTCTATCCTGCACTATGGAGGGTCATAAATCTGTGGTTTCAACATTGGCAGCACGTAATGGAGTTCTCTACAGTGGTAGCTGGGATGGGACTGTAAGATTGTGGAGTTTAAGTGATCATAGTCTTTTGACAGTGTTGGGAGAAAAAGACATGCCGGGAACCTTGAGCTCTGTCTTGTCTGTCACTGCTGATCGGAACCTTGTCATATCAACTCACGAAAATGGGCATCTAAAGGTAGTACTGCATGCTTTCAAGCTCTACAAAAATGTGGGTTATGGGTATATGGTATCGTGAATTATGCAAGCAAATAAGTCATGGCAGTGGATATAAATCCTTTTGGAGGTTTCAGTTACCAATTGGGGCACAAAGTGCCTTGAAGAAGAGAAGAACTAGTGATATATGGCTTGTTGCTGTCTACAGGTATGGAGGAACGATCAGTTCATGAAATCAGCACAAATTCACAGTGGTGCCATTTTCTCTAGCAGCATGGGGGGTGGATGGCTATTTACAGGTGGTTGGGACAAGACAGTTAATGTTCAGGTACATTGTGGGCATGCATACTGTTTTTAAGTAGACATTTATGTTGTCCGCTTTATTTGGACCAAGGCCATCGCTGAACTCGAATTCTTTCCTCTGATTCGTAGGAAGTATCAGGGGATGAACTCCAAGTAGACATCAAATCCATCGGAACGATCCCAAGCACTTCAGTCATAACTGCTCTGTTGTACTGGCAAGGGAAGCTTTATGTTGGCTATGGTGATCGAACGATCAAGGTACATTCCTTTTCTCCACCGGCCTCCTCTCACATGGTTTCGAGTCAATTGGCGATAGCTTGTTGGTCAAAGTTTTGTGGAAAAATCGTCTCATTGTTTGTCTGATTGCATCAGGTGTTTTGCTATGCAAACTGATGAAGTAGTATCTCTTTTGGAGGGGAAAGCGCTGGAGAAAGGCAGTATATAAATACACTTAAATACTAACATATGGGAATGTAAATAGAAAGTTATCCTTGAGACAGGATCACATACATGTCATGGCCTCTGATGAAAGAGGGGATCAGTAATATGTGTTTCTCAAACAGCACGGCCTGGCTAAATAGATCGCCATTAAAGGTCCCCTGAAGTAGGGAATGCTTATTATGGATGCATACATTATATCATGGTTGCTAGATATCGCTGATTGCTTACAAATGCACATAATACAAACTGAGGAACTTCAGGAAATAGAATCCATTCCTAAAACTTTATGCGATTCTCAGGTCTGTACCGACAACAAAAAAAGTGCTTGAAATGGGATCAGGAGAGGCCAAAATATTGGGGGACTTGGAATAAGATCTATGAGATTAGTGGATCCTACTTACATTTTTGTCCAAATTTATGGTTTAATGTTAATAAATAAATAAATAAATACATAGGATATTGGGGCAATATGATTAGTAGTTTAGTACAAATTAATCTGATTTCTTCATTGTGTGATCTATTTATTGGTGTGGGGCTTGTAAATATCAATTACAATCCAACACAAGTATATAACAATATCATATTAATGTTAAATTTGATTGAAAACGAACACAAAAATAAGAGACCCAACAAAAATGACTCAAACTCATACCGCCACCCTACCCCAAATTACATGGAAGCTTCATTGTTGCTTATTGTTGTCGAGCTAATGTCTCCTAGTCCATTTTTTGTGGTCCTTCTATAGCACTTCCCTGAAATTATCCTCATTTGAATAAGCCAATATTACAAATAGGGTAGGCAAGTAATCTTATAGACCTTCAAACATCTCGTTATTTCCAATTGTTTAGTGCCGAAAACTTGAACTTGAGCCAATCGCTTGAAGGCGAGCCCAGTTGTCATCCCACCGCCACTGACCTATAAGTTTTGGAAGATTATCTTTTCAAGATAAACACAAATTAAATTAATCATGGGGATTTTTCCAATAATAGCACCTTAAAAAAATAATTACAAAAATAGCACCCATATAAAAAAAATTACAAAACTAGCATCAATTTTTTTGGATCGCACCCCTAAGATGCGTTTTAAAGGTAAAACGCACCGGAAAGATGCGTTCTACATATAAAACGCATCAGAGGGGTGCGTTCCATATAACAAATCGCAATAGGTCAGTGCGATTTAGTGCTGCTGCGGAACGATCTTCAAGATCGTTGGATGGAGGGACGATCGGGCGGCTCAGCGCTTGCCAGCGGAGCGATCCGCGCCGAGGATTCCAGATCGCTTGCCACCGGAGCAATCCGCGCCCAAGGAAGCACAAATCGCATCGGAAGGGAGCAATCCGCGCCTAGGGAAGCGCAAATCGCATTGGAAGAGTGCGATCCGCGCGAGGGCAAAATTACCCGATCGCCCCTGGAGGGTGCGATCTGATGGGTATAAATACCCCCCCTTCCCCTCTCATTTCTTCACACCACAACCCATTCTTCCTTCTCTCTCTACAATTTATCTCTCTAAACCCTCCCCCTCCCAAAAGTCTAGGAAATAGTGGTCTGTTGGTTGCGGCTAAGTCCGATCTGCCATCAGAAAACATTTCTTAGGTTTTTTCCTCAAAACCCTCCGAGCCGAGCCGAAGCTCTATCCGAATTGCGCCAAAAAAATGGCCGATTGGTGGCAAGGAGAAGGAGTTTATGTTGATGAATTTCAAGCGGTACGTACTCATTATTCTGGTTTAATTTTTGTTGTTGTTATAAGTTTTTTAATTAATCTATGTACTAACCTCGTTGTTATTTTCTCGTAGGTTGGGGAGGACGTGGATATTTACAACCAACGGTATTATCTCGAGCAAGGACCGTTGGATCCAACCGACTTGTACGACCAACCCAACCATCGGTCAAGAGATGTTTGGAACGCTCACCCGGTACATACAATTCTTTACCATTTGTCCTTCTTTTATTTTGTTAATGTATTTAGTGGAATATAAAGTAAATTTATGTTGAATTTTTAATCGTGTTGGTTGTTTTCAATAATTTAATCGAATACATAGCGCCACTTACTTCGACTCTTTATAAAGAGATGCACGTCTAAGGAAATGGGGTTTTAAGCGATTATCATATCCTCCCATTCCCTGGAAAAATCGGGTATTAAGAGATCCTCGGATCCCCCCTTTTTCTGTCAAAAAGACTGTGTTTCTAAGAAGATGTATACCTCTTCTAAGAGTCTAACGAGTGTTGCTTTGTATTCGATTAAATTATTTAAAACAACCAACACGATTAAATAATTTACCAAACAACCCTTACGATTTATTTTGATGTGTACAAAAGGAATTTTATTAATTTCAAACAATTGAATATGTATGTTTCTCTTTAAAATATTGATTCATTAACAATGTCATTTAATTTAGTTAATTTAGTATGTTTATTTTACGATAATATGTATGTATCTCTTTAAATTATTATTCATTTAGAATGTTATTATGTTAATTAATTTAGGATATTCATTTTATGATAATATGTATGTATCTCTTTAAATTATTATTAATTTAGAATGCTATTATGTTAATTATATGAAATGTCTTTTTATGATAATAAAATTCTGCTTGAAGTTAAATAATTTAATTTAATTAATTTAGTTATAAGGAATAAACCCTTACTAATATATAATAATTAATGTGTAAATTTTCCCTAGGAGGCACAAACAATAATCCGCTACAGGGGTACGACCAATGTGCTCCCATTCCACCCAGCTATCTTGCCCTTTCTCAAAAGGGCACAGTTGGGCTCGATTAGGCATTTTAACGGCATCAAAGTTGATCGCCAACTATCACCGCCCTAGTTGAGAGATGGAGAAAGGAGACCCATTGATTCAACTTTAGAGAAGGAGAGGCCACCATCACGCTAAAGGATGTCGCCATCCTAACCCATCTCCCCATCGACGGCAAACCGGTGTGCGTGAGTGATCATCCCCCCGACGATTGTGACGGTATGCCCGGTTGGGTTCATTTCATCTATAGTGTTTTGGGAGTAAAAGTACCAGTGAAGGGGTGCGTTGATGCGATCGATCGCATGCCACCAATGAGGAAACACCAAGTGTCAATTACTGGGTTGACGAAGTACTTTAGAGACCATTACGAGAGTCATCCCCTAACTGAGGAAAGTTCGGAGGATGAGAAGGAGAGATATGCTCGGGTCTATCTCATTGGCAGGATCAGAGGAGTGTTCTTCTCCAAAAAATCAAGCAATCTCCTTAGTTGTGGATGGCTTAGGATCATCCTCGGTAGTTGGGAGGAGATGGGGGAGTATAGTTGGGCATCCGCTTGCCTAGCTAATATCTACCACAACTTGTGCAATGCCTCTCTAAAAGTTGTGAGGGAGGTCCGCTGCGCAATGTTCATAGTCCAATTTTGGGCTTGGGAGCATATGCCATGGATTGCACCGGTACAACGTCCCGACAGGGATTGGCCAATCGATCATCCCCTAAGAGGGGAAGCTTATGGTACAAGGTAAACTTCTCATACCCATCATGTTTTTTCTTGGTTGATTTTCCCTTGTGTTTTAGCTTATTGTAATTTCGATTATTGTTTTATTAATAAGGTGGCTCGGACACACAACTTGTGACAACCTTGCCCAACACAAGTTGGATGAGTATCGGAGGAGGTTTGAGCGACTTTGGGAAGGAGAGGTAACTTCTATACTTCGATCCATTTATACCTTTTTACCATGGAAGACATGTATTTTTCCGATTCTTACTATCTTAATTTACTCATTTTGCGCGTGTAGATCATCTTCGATCCATACCCGGAGAACATCGTTCATTGGCATCTCCAGCAATTCCCCGAGCATATTGGCCAATGGTGCACGAGGGTCCCTCTAATTTGTTTTGGGACCGTGGAGTGGCACTTGCCGGATCGATGCCTCCGTCAGTTTGGTCGGGAGCAGTGCATTCCGTTGGAGGTCCCCGATAGTCAAAAGGCCTTCCAAGGTCGAGATGGGCGGCAAGGTACTCGAGATTGGCCCTTGAAGCTGGAGAAATTCATCACCATGTGGGCGAACCGATAAATGCAAGATATTGTCACTCCATCAGCAGTGGGTCGAATGGGGTATCATGACCCATACTTGGATCGATATCGGCAAACATCGGTCCGTTACATGACTCCGGAGGGTGCTGCCGATGGTGCATTAGTAAGTATATTCCACTCTACATAATTAAATGTATTGTTTTGGTTCCTAAATTGTTTCCTAACTTATTGTTTTGTGATTTAGGCTGACGGGATTGAGCGGATTAAAGACATGACCACCGGGAGAATGGAGCTGGGAAATGAAGATGTGAGCTTCATCAGGAGGATGGCAAACAATCTTCTTGGCTGTATCAGAGCTCAGGGTCGGGATCATCGTAGATATCCGCCCATGCCGGCACCCCCGCCACCTCCGGTACAAGTTGATGTCCCCGATCCCCCACCACCATACGAGAGGAAGCCAAGCAAGAGGGTCCGGGAAAGGCCCAACGTGCCCGAAGTCAAGCCATATCCCGGGTGGAAACTGCCGCCCCCATTGGTTGCTCCCCAAGGTGTCGGCCCGAGATCCCCCCAAGTTGGCGGCCCGAGTTCTCTCCAAGGTGGCGGCCCAAGTTCTCCCCAAGTTGCTGGCCCGAGTTCCATCCAAACTCCCCACCAAGGCTCGTACTACGATCCCCGCTCGACCTACCATCAAACCTCTCCAAGTCCCACCCCGATCTCATACAACGATCCCCGCCATGGAGCATACTACGATTACCACCCGATCTACCCCCCATCTCCCCGCCAAGGAGGTTACTACGATTACCGCCCGGTCTACCCCCCATCTCCCCGCCATACATCATCGGGTACTTGGCATGATGGTTCCTCCACGACGGCCCACCACGATTTTACGCCATGGACTCGCCCTCATCAGCAGTGGCCTCTTACTCCTCACCGTACTTCCGTGGATGTCCCCCGCTCGACCTCGGAAGTGTCGATTCCCCGCCGACACAGCACCGATGAGCGCCAAACTACCTCGGCCCGAGTTCGAAACTTGCCACCGCAACCACCTGTTGTTACTCCCGTCGGTCGTCGTACAAGGAGCAAGAAAACCGTGGGTTCCGGTGAAGCTCGTGGACTTCCTTGAGTTATATTTGAGAGTTGAATTTAATTTCTATGTAATTTGAACTATTCCTATTATCTTAGTTTATCGAATTGATTGTTGTTTCAATTTGGTTTTATTTCTATCCCCTTGGAACTATGACTTTTATCTTTATGTAATCCCAATTAGTTCAATCAACAATACAGTGGGGAGAAGAGATTGGATTGAAAATTCTGGGTTCTAACCCAAATTCGAGCCAATGAACGATAAAAGCAACAATACACAATACACATTTCGTTCAATCAACAATACACAATTACTTGCAAAGTAAGAGTCTCAACTAGCTTGAAAAAAAATGATAAAAGCAAACTATGTCGCATTAGCTGAGTCCGGCACATCAGGACCCGGATTTTACGGACCAATCGGGCATGGACATCTTCGTTTATCATGCCCTGGAACTTTGCATATTGAACATCGTCTTGGGCCTCGTGGTGGTCTTCCACTTTGATCCATTTCGTTCTGAATTCTCTTTTTCCTCGGGCGACCCGGTTCACGCCTCTGTCCGAACGGCGGGATGATCAATTTTCCTTCGTACATCGGCCAATAAACTTCATCAGGCAATGCACGGAAACTCCGTCCATAGGTGTTTTTGAGTGAGTCGATATTGAAGAACGGACTAACGAAGTGACGAGGGTCTTTGCTCCTGTTTTTAATTACGGCCATTGCATGAGAACAAGGCCACCCTCTCCCTTGATACTTCTGGCATGAGCACTCACCAAATTTTGTCCGGAAATTGACCAAAACTTCATGGCGGTGCCCCCCCCCCCCCCCCGTCTACCGTCCTCTCGATGCCCGGTCGTCACGCTATACTCGCCATTTGCCCGATTCATAACGGTTACACTACGTCGATTGCTCTTGCGATTGTCATTCTCCATTACTTCCATGACTTTATAGGCATGGACCTTACCCTGTGCCTAGTTCGTCCTTGCCCAGTGGAGTCGGTTGACGAACCATGCATTCGTTTTCCAAAAAGTCATCTCCACAATGGCAGAGATTGGCAGTGCACGAACGGCCTTGTAGACAGAGTTGATACTCTCACCTGAGTTCGTTGTGGCAATACCCCATCTTGTCCCTCCATCTTTATGAAATGTCCACATGGATAGGTCATGTCCATCCAGCCACTGTGCCCCTTCAGGGCATAACTCGCGCAACTTCTGCATCTTCTCCAGAAATTTTTTCTCTTGGTAGGCAACCGCTGAGGAAGACACAGAAAAGTAGTATGTTAGTCAATTTTTGGCAATTTAGTACAAATTCGAACAGCCCGGAGTTACTCTCGTTAGACTCTTAGGAGAGGTATACATCTCCTTAGAAACACAGCCTGTTTGACAGAAAAAGGGGGGATCCGAAAATCGCTTAAAACCCTATTTTCCCAGGAAATGGGAGGATCATGATAATCGCTTAAAACCCCATTTCCTTAGGCATGCATCACTTTAGAAAGAGTCTAACCAGTGCACCACTCGCCAAATGTACTAAGATATTGTAATTGCAACTAAATTATACGGCTAATTACAAACTTACCAATCCACCACAAATTATCAGCAAGCTTATTCCGCTTGAAATGATGGTTCCAGTTGCTCTTGAAGTGTCGTATGCACCACCTTTGGGACCACTTCCAGGCTGGATCTAAACCTAAGATGGCAGCTCTAATGCCGGCGTGCCGATCAGAGATTATTGTCAGGTTCGTCCTCCTAGTACAATGGAGCTGAATTTGCCGGAAAAATCATCCATAGCTATCAGCATTCTCTCCCTCAACGATGGCGAAGGCTAAAGGAAAGACTTGTCTGTTTGCATCCGCCCCAGTGGCAATCAGGAGAGTGCCCTTGTACTTGCCAGTAAGGAATGTTCCATTCACTTGGATGACAGGGACACAAGCCAAAACCATCAATACATGGCTTGAATGCCCAAAAAAGTCGTCTGAAATGGCGCTTGTTACCTGGCTCTGGGGGTTGTATCTCTTCATCTTGGTATCGAGGGGAGAAAACCGTGTCAGGGTTAGACGCCTCCAATGCCAAAATTAACCTGGGAAGGAATGCATATGATTCTTCCCAATCACCAAAGACGGCGGCCAAAGCTTTCTGCTTTCCATGCCACGCCTTCTTATAGTTAATCATATAACCATAACGACTTGCAATGTCAGCGATTATGACTTTCACCTTTAGGTCTGGCTCTTGCTCAATTAGATGCTTGATAGCCGCAGCAACCACCCTGGATTTCAACTGTCGATGGCCTTGGGAGGTTATGGATGACACACATGTGTGTGTGTTCACCGCACAAGATATGACCCAGTGGTCGTGTCTCTTGCTATTGATGGCTCGAATCCTAACATTGCACCCCTTGTGATGATTACGGCATCTGACTATGAGCCTTTTAGTGTTGGAATGAGTTGTGTGCCATTCAAAATGCCGAGTCATTGCTTCTGTCTCAATGGCGTGACGCACCTCCTTCTTCGAGCCAAATTGTTGGCCCTTCATAAACCCAGTGAGTGGACCCCATATTGGGACCTCTGGCGGCTCCATGTCGCTGTCGACCATCCAATTGTCGTCTGGAATGTGATTGTAGTAGGGGACTGGTACATGGTCACGAGCCCCCTCATCATCATTAGCTGAGTCTGACTCTGGTCCTGAATCATCGGCACCTTCAAGAGGGTCGGAGTTGTCTGCACTGACGTTGTTCTCTCCTTCTTCATCGGCGGGGTCACTGACTGGTGCTGGCATGACATCCTCCATCTGATCCAGCTCATGAAAGGCACCTTCATCAGCTCTATAATGGTAGTTGTGAAAACTACCGCTGCCTGAGTGGAAGTTGTACTGAGGTTGGTTGGGCCGGTCCGGTTGAACTTCTTCTTCATATGATTGATGATGACCTTCACCTTGCTCTTGGTACTGAAAATATGAATGATGATCATGGTAACTTTGGTACGGATGATCGCCATATAATTCACCTCCACCATGGATACCAGATGTTTAACCATGTCCAAAATGACCTCCAACGCCTACGACCGGCTCGGTGTAAACGAACATCTCGGCTTTGGAAAGATTGTTGGACCTCATGAATTCGAGCATGGCGTCTACCTCATCCTGAGTGGTTATGAGATATTCCTCATGCCACAATGACCCACTTTCTCTGTTTGGATATCGGTACACCATACGATCAACTCTTCTCGTGCCATCCATGCAAGTAACGTTAGTGCACATTTGATGGAGGTCTTCAAGCAGCGGTCTGGTAGCGACCTTTATCTTCTGAAAATTGCCACCTACGTAGGTGACCCCCTTTCCGATCTCTTCCGTGTAACCATTCCACCGTAAGCCAAGCGTGAACTTTTGGAATGCCATCTCGGATAAAACCGTAGTTCAGTTAATATCATAAAAATCAAAAATAAAAAATAACAATAAAAAGTAATACTAAATCAACTTACGAGTTAATGTTAATCGCAAAACTACTAAAGAAATATAGAGCTTGAAAAGGGAGAAGGAGAGGTGTGAAGAGAAGTGGTTGTCCGGGAGGCCTTTTATAGACAAAATCACTGATGAAAACCAACCCACGTCTGTTACGTCTGCATGGCATGTCGGAAATTGATTGACCAAAACCGCACCTTCAAGGTGCGGTTTGTATGGCAAAATCGCATCCTCGTGGTGCGATTTTGTTTGGGAGAAACAAATCGCACCTTTATGATGCGGTTTTAATAGGTCAGACCTAAAACCGCACCTCGGCCAAGCGATTTCAGTAGGTCAGACCTAAAATCGCTTGGCTAAAATGCGATTTGAGTCCAGAAAATTGGAACGCACCTTACCAGTGCGATCTATTTGTAAAACGCACCCTTAGGGTGCGATTTAAATATAAAACGCATCTACAAGGTGCGTTCTATTAAAAAGGGTGCTATTAGTGTAAATTTTTACGGATGGGTGCTATTTTTGTAATTTTTTTTAAAGGTGCTATTTCTGGAAAAATCCCTTAATCATGTAACTCAAAATAAAATAAAGTTTCAAACACTAAATAAGTACTTAACGGAAACTTAGTGGACTAGCTAAACGAGCTGGAAAAGTCATCTGATTTTCATATTTTTGCTTCTTGTATATTTTTAATTTAGTGTAGTTGGTCATTATTATTGTTTTTTATTTAAAGAGACTCATGTTCAAAGCTCAACATTGATATTTTTTAATAGAATATAAACTATTGTAATGACAAATGTACTCTTCATACTTTCGTTCTATTTGCAAGAATTTGAAATGGAAGAAAAGAGAGGTTGAATTCAGGTTATATATCTTCTAGATTTCTTTTGTTGGGAGCAACTTGGCAAAGAAGAAAGTAAGAAGCTGCAAGATGGATCCAGATCTAGCACCAGCGGGAAGTATTGTGAAATAAATTGAAGAGGTATTTGAGAAAAAAGGAAAAGAAAATCAATCTATCATAAGCATAGATCGAACAGAGAGGTAATTATGGAAAGATGGCTAGCGCGAGCAAACAAAACAATAGCATAAAAGGATGAAAAATCGTCACGCCTGATCTATCCATCTACACCCGCGACTATTTCCATGGTTGTTTAGAGAGAAAGTGGTAGAGATGTTCAATCGAAACTAATGTACATGAGAAAAGAGAACGGAAAAACTGAGAAAGAGGATTAGAGATATCAAAAGCAGAAGGGCAAATGATGGGTAAACTCAAACATCTTTTTCTTGGTTGTCTTCCTCCTACTTCTTTTGTCTTCTCCTTGTTCCGTTTTCCCCCCTTTTCTTGGCGTGGTTGCAGTACCTGCGATGCACTTCTCTCCTTCCGGCGTCATAGACTCGTAGCAATGGCAGTGTGGGGGGCCATATAGTTTAGCTCATTTTTCTTCTTGTGTGCCAGATTTGGTATCCATATTTCGAATGTTTGGCTTTTTGACACTTGGGAACCGTTATTTTGAAGTGCCTTTTTGAAAATTTTGGGAAATCATTGGGGATGATGTAGAGAATTTTATACGTTATCTAAAAATGGCACCTACATAAGAAATAAACAAAAAAATTCACTAAAAATTTAAATCAGCCATTTGTTTCAAAATATGGTGTCTGCTGATCATTATTTCAAAATATGGAGGGGTCAATTGTTTCAAATATGGTGTCTGCTGATCATTATTTTTATTTTTTTTACAAAATCCTCATTTCATTAAGAAACATGTGAATGTTACAGAGTTGGACCAAGTTCTAAAAAAATGATAAAAGTCTAGTCTAAGAATTGAGGAGTACACAAAACCAACAAAAGCAGCCACGGGAGGACATAAGCCCAGAGACAATGGCATAAGAAAAACACAACTCAAGAGCCAAAACCCAAAACAAACAAGCCCAACAACAACCATAGCTATAGCTTTCCAAACAAAATCTTAAGCCGCCGACAGCCACCACAAGCTGAAACCAACATAAAAACCACCACACCAATGTTGTCCACAATGAACTCCAACAACACACTCCGCACCAACTGCCCCGAGAGCATCAACAAGGGATCCATTGAACCTCAAGAGAGAAACCACTAACGCCACCAACAGTAGAAGAGTACCAAAGACCTTAACCACCCACCGTCGACGCCACCCAAGCACTACAGAACCATCGACGACCAAGAGGAAACAGAAATATGAGATTGCAAATGATGACGCCATCCCTAAATTCAAGCCACGAGACAATATAACCACATGCGTATTGCCAAACCATCGAATCACTATGCATTTAGAGTGAAGCAAGGATGGAGGTTATGAAAGTCAAGAAGTAGAATGTAAATTGCATAAGAAATTATCTATGCACATCAAGAAAGACTTCAATATCGGAACCCAAATCTGAAGCGTGAAACAACAAAACCGTCATACAAGGGAGGTTTTGGAAAAATCCACTTAAGATAGCAAGAGCATTGGAAAAGAAAGATGCAAAGTAGGAAAAAAAAAAGGGAACATAGGCAATCAAAAGAGGGAGATTTGGTTGTTGTCAATCACCATGGAGATTGGAAAGGAAAGTGTATAGAGAAGTAATACACTTTTTAAAATAGAGAGAGCCACTATTTTAAAGTGGAAGAGATAGTGACCTTTGAGCGATGAGTGGTGGGAGATTTATAAATGGTAAGTTCTTTGTTCTATTTGAACTATCTATCTATATTTATAAAATATAATAAAGAGTTTCATAAAAGATTTCAAATTTGTTGAATTAATATGCGTCCACATCAACACTTCTTGCCACCAATTAAAATTTTTCTTTTAACTCAAAATTTCTTTTCTCTTACTATTTCTTTCCAGGTAACCAATTGAAATGTACCACCTAGCATACTTCTCTCACTTCTTTTTCATTAATTAACCTATATTTTGTTTGCTTCAACTTCGAATTTTGATATTTTTGCGTTAAAAAGTTTGATTTTATATGATCTACACAATACTATCCATTTTCATATAATACTAAAAATGAAACAAAGACGTGATGTTCACTTATTTATGTACCAGTATAATTCGGTTGTATATCACCATACAAAGCTGACTAGTGTACCACCAACCATAAATCACGAGGCACGTTTCTATTCCACTAAGTTGCTAAATTATATGAATAACCTTCCATTTTTGTACCGACATAATACATAATTCTATCAATACATGTTAAAAATTATAATTGAAGAAAACCCAAATTATCTAATCAATTTTTTTTTAACTCCAACCAACTAGCTCGGCTCAAAGCGGGACGGGATACGGTGACAACCCCCTTAGGGGTTGTCAGATTGACAACCAAGGGTATTTTGGGTATGAAAAAAAGGAATATATTAATTACCTTTTTTGTATTAATCAGATTGGGAATTAAAAACCCATATTAAATACAATTTTTTTTAAATTTAAATCCTATACATTAATATCTCTATCTCTCTCTCTTCCTTTCTCCTGCGGTCACTCCGCTTCGATGGACAGACTTTTTCTCTGGCGAATTCTCTCCGGCAGACTCCCTCCGGCAACCTGAAAAATGTACCAGTGCGTTAAAAAGTGTACCAATCTATTAGTCTATTGGTAATTAATATACCAGTGCTAGTGGTACGCTACCAGTGCTAGTGGTATGCTACCAATACTAGTGGTACGCTACCAGTGCTAGTGGTACGGTACCATTACCACTTGTAGCGGTACCATTAGCAGTACCAATACCACTGGTAGCGGTACCAGTACCACTGGTAGCGGTACCAGTACCACTGGTAGCGGTACCATTGCCACTGGTAGCGTACCACTAGAGACTAGCACAAAAAAAATCAGATCTGAAATATGAAAAATCACAGATCTGGAAAAAAATAGGGATGACGAAAGGGGGAGGCAGGGGAGAGGCGGTGACCTCGTGGCGACGGTGGTGGTGGGAGACAAAGGGCGGCGGGAGGGTTGCAACGACGGTGGTGGTGGGAGGAGGAGGCCGCGATGGCTGCGGGGCGAGGGACGTGACAGTGCTGGGAGGCGGAGGGCGCGACGACGGGAGGGCTGCAGCAGTGATGAGAGGCGGAGGGCGTGGCGGGTCGGCTGCGACGACGGTGGTGGCAGCCGATAGAGAGAGATGGAAGAGATGGGAGGAAGAAGAAGAAGAAGAAGAAAGATGGCGTGAGAGAGAGAGAGAGAGAGAGAGAGAGAGAGAGAGAGAGAGAGAGAGAGAGAGAGAGAGAGAGAGGAAAGAGAGAGTGTAGGGTTTTAGATATTAATAGGGGTAATAATCTAGTGTGGTCAATTTTTTTCGTCCAAAAATACCCTTAATCCAATCTGTACCATTGATTTGAAAAAAGAAGAAAGAGACAAGAAAGAGAATGGATCCTATGGTTATAAAATGGGTTGTCAATCTCACAACCCCTAATGAGGTTGTCACCGTATCTCATCCCGCTCAAAGCTAGTCTCCTTTTTTACAGAACATAAGACAAAAACCAAAATATGTTCCTCTTTTTATATGTAGAAATGGATGAGAGTAGTAGTCTATCAATTATTTCCTCTTTTGTGATTCAAACAGAACATAAGCCAAAAACCAAAATATGTTCTATTAGGGGATTAACGATTAAGAGGTTTTTGATGTTGAGATTGTTCAAATGTGTATTTGATGAATATATGTATTGTAAATATAAAGATTGTAAGAATTAGGAGATTGAAAGAATGTCTTATTTGTTTGTAGCAATTCAAAATTTTTAAAGAAAAGAAAAAATCACATTATGAGCTAAATGTGGAACAAATTAAAGCCCACAATCTCAAAGGAAGAATCTCACCTTTTTGTTGAGATTTGAAATGAGTGACGATGGGTGATATGAGATTTGAATGCCACATCAAATGCATGTATCGAATAAAGTTTTGTTGAAAAAAAAAAATTCTCCGGAATAGATGAATTCAATGAATCATTCATTTAAATCATAACTTCCAAACAATCCAAACAACCCCTAAGTGAGTTAAATTATAACTTAATCTTTACCTAAATAACCTTAATCACCAGAAATCGAAGTTCAGTGAGTGAATTTGTTCGTAACAAAGTTTCGTGGCCATTTCTGTAATATACCCCGGTTCGTTCGTCACTTTATTCACTTTGGTTGCACCAGGAACGCAGGGGCAAACCGAAATCCATATCAGTCTCTCACTGTCACTGGTGCGCGAGGTAGTGTCGTCAACTGTTAGACCATCAAAGAAGAAGCTCAGTGCTTCCGCGGAGAAACCAGTGAAGTAAGTGAAGAGAGAAGATAGCAAAACGGATTACTCAATGGCAGCGAGTCCTGCTCTCTTCAACCCTTCCTTTCTTCTTCCTCCAAAGCCGCCAAGGGAGGCCCCGTCGTCTTTCCTCTACTCCAGACCCATCTCCATTACTCCTTTCTCCACGGCATCCTTCGGGTCATCTACTCATTTGTTTCATCGACCTCGTGTAAGCAGCGGGACCATAGCCAGAGCTTCCCTTAAGGTCTCGTTTTCCACTGTGCCTGCTATGTGTTCGATCATATGCTTGAGAGAAGCGGTTAATGTATATAAGTATAATTTTGTTTTTGGACTTCGCTGTAGGAGAAACTGGGTGAATTAAGAGACAAGGTAGCTGATGTGACGAGCTTAAACCAGTGGGTTGTTAAGGATTACTATCGCCTAGTTGAGTCTGTTAATGGGTTTGAGCCGCGAATTCAGAAGCTTTCCGATGAGCAGGTTCGTGAAAGGTTTTAATTCGTTTGGAAAGAGTTGTAAGTATGAAATCAGGAAACTTTGCTCTCGAGGAGTTTGATTCGTTTGGGAATAGTCCATTTGGATGATTTGTTGAGTTTGTCATTTTTAGTTGACTGCAAAAACTGAGGAGTTTAGGACCAGACTGAAACGAGGGGAGACGCTGGCAGACATTCAAGCTGGTTTGCTTCTAATGATTTCTCCTACTCTCCTTATTTCAACGGTAAGGTTGGAGGGTGTTGAGTGCACTTTTATACGGATTTATTTTTCTCAGAGGCCTTTGCTGTCGTTCGGGAAGCTGCTAGAAGGAAGCTTGGTATGCGTCATTTTGACGTGCAGGTTTGTAGCTTTTCCTCTTCTGGTTTGTTATTTCGGCAGTATTGCTCTGCGTTTCTTTCCCCTTAAGAATTGGACGCCTGTGGAGGTGCTTGGCTTAAGCTTTAGAACAGTTGCTACTAAATGTGTCATAAATTTACTCAAAACTGTGATTCCAGATTATTGGTGGTGCAGTGCTTCATGATGGATCAATTGCTGAGATGAAAACTGGGGAGGGAAAGACATTGGTTTCGACATTAGCTGCGTATCTGAATGCACTAACCGGTGAGGGTATCCATGGTAAGTATCTATCATAACATATCTGGACTTTTTGATTTTTTTTCCATGGAAATGCGTCGGTGGGGTGAGGTACTTGGTCAGGGAACACCATATTGTTTAGTGAAAACGCATTACTTGGAGACACCAATAAAAATGGAAGAAAAAATGAATATAGGATGCTTTTTTCCCCGCTCGAGATAGGATGTCAGTTAGTTGAACATTCATCTATCTCAAGTTTTGTTCCACTGAAGTGACTGAATAAATAAAATTATAGCATTGAGACTGGGAAATCTACTAAAGATCTTCCATTATGCAAGTTAATCCCGAATCACCAACTTTGGCTTCTATGCTAGTGTTTTGGAAATTTGATTCAGTTGCTAGCTCGAGGAATGCATATCCTCTCCTGGTTGTTCTTTCACTTAATCTCAAGTGATAACCACTAGATAATGGTCCAGGTAACAATGCTGCATGACAGCCCAACTATATGGTGCATATTATTGTTTGCATACTCTTCTCCATCATCCAGATAATGAAAAGCATTAAGACATGCTTGAATAGTCTAATGTGAATTTTCTATCCTTGTAACCCTTCCGAATCCGAAAGAAATTGCGAGTATTTTACTAAATTGAATCTTTGACGCAACGATAGAATTTATTGTACTTTAAGCACATTTGGTTGGACAAACTCCATTTTGTACCTACATAGACAAATTGTGTTAGGGTATTCCTACACATTATGTCCTACAAGTTTCACACTGAAGGTAATGCGGTCAACTATTCTAAATGGCTGTTTTGTACTGACATCGTTTGCATGAAAAAAATAGTTTCCTCATGGATGTATGCTGCGCAAACATTTGAACTTAGGTACAATTAGATGTCTTCATCTGCTCATTTCTCCTAGCTCTACCCCCTTGGAGTTTATGGAAATGTATATTTGTGCACCTAGTCGTGGTTTGAGGTGTGGTCCTGTGGATTTGGGCTCTAAGTTGAAAACAATTTGTCACAAATTGGTGTCCTGAGCCTTGACTCGAGCTTAAAATGCTCTACCTAAGATTGTGCAGTTTCTCCAGCAGCTGTGATGGATCCATTTTGAACCACACTTCGCAAAGAATGCATACCATTCTTTAATGCACTTAGAACCCTTGTGGCTTGGACTGATGCTGCTGCTTCTCCTTGGCAGTGGTCACTGTGAATGATTACCTTGCTCAACGTGATGCTGAGTGGATGGGCCGTGTTCATCGCTTCTTGGGTCTTTCTGTTGGTCTCATCCAGGTATTATATTCTAGCTTTGATGACTGCATGATGTAATTGTAGCTTGCCTTGTTTCCTTTATGTGGCTGCAGAACGCAAATATGCTACAAAAATTGGAATATGCTGGATAGATCCTTGATATGTTATTGTTGGTCCATGCAGAAGGGTATGACATCTAAAGAGCGAAGGTCCAATTACAGATGTGATATAACATACACTAATAATTCAGTAAGTCAATCTTCATTTGTTGTCATGTTTTTTAGTAGGTGCGAGTGTTTCTTCCCGTTCCATTTGGATGTCAACAAAGCCATTTACCCTTTAAAGCTTTATTGCAATTGATTGGTGAGTCTTGCTTGTGTTCTTAGACCTTGTAATGATGATTATTGTAAATTCTTTCAGGAGCTTGGTTTTGATTATTTACGAGATAATCTTGCGGGAAGTGACGAACAACTTGTTATGAGATGGTAAGTTCCATGCAGTTCTTTGACTTAGTTCTTTCCTCAAGTTGAGAAACTATTGGTTTGTTAATGTTGGACTAAGCATAAACAGGCCGAAGCCGTTTCATTTTGCGATAGTTGATGAAGTGGATTCCGTTCTCATAGATGAAGGAAGAAATCCTTTGTTAATCAGTGGTGAGGTATTAAGCTTGATTTTGGGATCTGTTAATGCATATAATGGGTGTATGCATGTAGCTAAATCTATTTGCAAAACATTGTATATTATTGATGCATAAGTAGTTTTACTTTTCATTTCTCTCCATCTCTTTGGCAGGCTAATAAAGATGCTGCAAGATATCCGGTTGCTGCCAAAGTAGCTGAGCTGCTCTTAAGGGGAATTGTAAGTCCATTGGTTACATTACTTGAGTTGCTATTTTGACACACTTGTTCATGCCTGAAGATCTATCTTAAACTATGCTGCCAACAAATCATCTCTGGTGGCAGCACTATAATGTGGAGCTTAAAGATAACTCAGTGGAGTTGACTGAGGAGGGAATAGTTCTAGCTGAGATGGCGCTCGAAACAAACGATCTTTGGGATGAAAATGATCCTTGGGCTAGGTGATTTTCTTTTCGTGTTCTGATACATACTGCAGTTTTGCTGTCCCATTCAAGAACACTGAAGAATCTTCAATTTTTTTACTAGTGAATATTCTTCTCCCAAATTAGTCCATCTTTAGCTTATCCAGCTGAAGTTTTTACGTGCAGTCCTACATTTGTTTTTGTGGAAGTATAAGGCACTTTGTTTGTTCAGTTCCCAGGATTTATTGAAATGACTTCCCACATTATCCTGGATGTTTGACTTCATATTCTTGTCCATAGAATTGACTTGTTTACCCATGGCTGCTTAATGCAATGTTTCGCTCTCAATACATATTACAGATTTGTACTAAATGCTCTGAAAGCTAAAGAGTTCTACAGGCGAGATGTACAATACATCGTTAGAAATGGGAAGGCCCTCATAATTAATGAGGTACATAACATCCGTACATCATGCAGTACTTACAAGTGCAACGTTTGTGAAAGCTCATACATAGTACACCATTTCTTTCGTGTTTAGTGCCATATATAATATGATGAAGTACATTCAAAATTTTTATGCAGTTGACAGGAAGGGTGGAGGAGAAGAGGAGATGGTCTGAAGGAATTCACCAGGCTGTAGAGGCAAAAGAAGATTTACAAATACAGGTATTGGTTGATATTGAAGTACTGTTTCTGCTATATTTATTATGCACCATGTCATGTAAATTTTATTTGTCATATTGAGATACTTTCTTGTAGGCTGATACTGTTGTGGTTGCACAAATCACGTACCAATCACTGTTTAAACTCTACCCAAAGTTGTCAGGAATGACTGGAACCGCGAAAACTGAAGTAAGAATGCCTTGTTCATCACTCATGTTTTTATGAGGTAATTGTAGTTCTCACTCAATTTTTGTGTACCCTTCTTCGAAAATATCAGGAAAAGGAGTTCCTGAAAATGTTCCAGGTGCCAGTGATTGTGGTGCCAACAAATCTTCCAAATATTCGTAAAGATTTACCCATACAAGCTTTTGCAGTAAGGAACAAAACTTTTTGTCTCCTTGGTTAGGATTTGCCTTTTCTATTCAGTTATCCAGTAACTATTTGCTTGCTATGAGAGGAGTTCACTCTTATTGTCTTAGCTTTTCTTCCACCTGATTATATTGTTCTGCTTACACATTTGTGGATTAGACAGCACGTGGGAAATGGGATCATGCACGTCGAGAAGTCGAATACATGTTTGAACAAGGGCGCCCTGTTTTAGTTGGAACAACTAGGTAAATATGGGCATTACTTTTTGCTGATTGATATGAAGTATAGATTTTTGGTTACCTCTACATAACATATTGCGTGAAGTACCCATAAAAACATATTGCGTGAATTAAAACATGTAATTTTGTGGTTAATGAATTCACATGAGGAGTGATCAGCAGAAAAAAAAAAAAAAGCATTAATGCTGTTTACCTATACCAATACAGTATATTAGCTGCTTTGCCATAATACTTGGGTTTGATTAGAGTTAACATGTTCTCTTCAAGGAGTCAACAAAACTTAGATAGTTCAAAATGCTTACCACAAATAGAGGCACAAGCTTAGCTTGTTCCTATATGGATTATGCATTGCTGCTGAGAAGATATTATCCAAGGTCAAAGCAAGGTGAAAGCATAATCCAATAGGATAACAACTGTGTTTGTGATCATAGTCGCCCATATTCGTGTCCATAAAATTGGTTCTTTCACTTAATGATCTTTCCCGCAATACAAACAAACATCAATGCAGTTTCTTGATTTCTTTAAGTAGATTAGATCCTAAAAGAGTAGTCATGAAGGTTTCCTTTCACTATTTGGTAATTTCTCATATCTGAGATGCATTTTTCTCTACTGGAGAAATGATCTTCTTGCTTCTAATACCCTATTATGATGATTTAATCTTATGACTGTAAAAGTATGTTCTTCTCCTTTTAATCTTGCCAAATAATGATTGGCATTGTCTTATTTTTCAATGATTATGCGTTTTTGTTTTCTTTCATTACTACTTGAAAATATAATCCTACTGATTTAAACATAATCTCGGACATTTCATACCCAAGCATATAAATTGCACTGGTCCCTCCATTTTTTATGCAGTGTTGAGAATTCTGAGTATCTTTCTGATCTACTCAAGGAGTGGAAGATCCCACACAATGTCTTGAATGCACGACCTAAGGTTTGGTTTTTCATCTCTAAACTTTCATTGCTGTGGATTCCTGTTGATTGCTTACTCATGAAAATGCTTTCAATAATATGTACTTGTGGCCTTTTTCAATTATTTTTCTCTATCAGTACGCTGCAAGGGAAGCTGAGATTGTTGCCCAGGCAGGGCGAAAACATGCCATTACTATTTCCACAAATATGGCAGGTAGAGGCACTGATATTATTCTTGGTGGAAACCCCAAGGTATCTGCTTCTTTTATGTATATATTCTGTCTACAGAACATATGCAGTCCCTCCCATGTAGAACTTTGTGAGACTACCATGGCATGATATATACTGTTGTGGTTTTAAGTTCTTTTTTCTCCCTTTTGATTACACAGATGCTTGCAAAAGAAGTCTTAGAGGACAGCTTGCTTTCTTATCTAACACAGGACAGGCCAGCTACTGAAATTGATATCAGATCATCTGATAAGGTGACTGTTGTGCTTTTTGTAAACTGCCTGATTCAGTTCACATTTTGATCGATCTTTTTGGTTCAGGTGTTATCAAAGATACGTGTTGGTGCAACATCTTTAGCTTTATTAGCAAAAACATCATTGATGGGTAGGTAATATTAAGAGTTTTTTCTCATATCCTCTTTTATACTGTCTTTGTTCATGGAAATTACCCTAGGGGATCCATTAATATTCTTTTGTTCTGAATGCGAATTGGCCAGCTAAATATGTGGGTAAAAGTGAAGGTAAGAGCTTGACATATGAAGATGCAAAGTCAGTGATCTCAAAGTCTGTTGAAATGAGTCAGTCGTTGGGCGTGGAAGAGCTACAAAAACTTGTCGATGAGGAGTCTGAAATGTATCCCCTCGAACCAACTATAGCACTTGCTTATCTATCAGTTCATAAGGACTGTGAAGCGCATTGCTTCAATGAGGGTTGTGAAGTGAAAAGGCTTGGGGGCCTCCATGTGATAGGTACATCTTTGCATGAATCACGAAGAATTGATAATCAGGTTAGTTATTAACTGCAATAACATTTGAAGTTAGAGGGATTATACAAAGAGATGCTGCTCATAATGTTTTAGGTACCCTTTAGCTGAGTTTTACAAGATACAGCTTGCAATTGTGGAATTGGAGACTGCTTAATCGACACAGCTGAGATTTCTTGTTTGTTGTTGTTCCTTTATCAGACAAGCGAGTTTCCCTTAGCGGGGGGAAAAAAAAGAAAAAAGAAATTTGAGCTAAAATATACTTGGTTGTCAGACTATTTCTGCAGGCAATAGTTTTTCTAGTTTCACCCTTTGTTTCACTATTATGGTTCCAAAAAAAAAAAAAAAAAAAAAAACTGTGCAGCCTCTACTATGACACTAAACATATCTAAGATGCACACGTTTCTCATAGTAGCATGGCAATTATCTATTGCAGTAACCCTGTCCGATGTGTTTAATCTAGAAATGACGTGTGTTTGTATAAACACAGCTGTTCATTTGTTTTTATTTTAGTTGCTGAAATATGCATGTACTAGTTTTAGTATGAAATATGCATGTGACAATCATCTAACATCTTATCAGTGAGTCCATTGCCTGTGCACCTTATTTGCATAAATCCTCTTCAACAACATAACCCTCTTCTCAAATTTCTTGTTGCAAAAAAAAAAAAAAAAACAGCTTCGTGGACGAGCAGGAAGGCAAGGAGATCCTGGATCCACACGATTCATGGTGAGGTAATAAATGATCACTCTAGTATTTCCATGATTCTTTTAGTGAATGGATTTCCTTTATGTGATTGAGAATTAGTATATGTGTTTGGTGAATGCCAAGCAACATGAATTTATTGAATCCTTACCAACTGTTTTATAAATTTTCACACATGGAAAAGGATTATATATGGAAATTGATCAAGCCTTTGACTTGCCACAGATATATTACGATGTATATTCACCATCTATCTCTGTGATGTCTACAGCATTAAGGCGTCAATTTCTCATGATTGTCAATTGCATCCTCGATGAGAAATTGACTCAATTGTGTTATGGGGGTCTAGAATGTTGATACGAATTTTGAGCTATAGATGATTGGTCAAACTGATAAAATGACATTGTGATACGATATTTCATATGCTTCTTATGTTGGGCACGAATATGAGTTCTTGTCAAACTTAGTGTATCTTGAACTAATTAAATTGAAGAGAAAACAATGGAGGATGCGTTTCTCAAATCCTGGGCAACATGTCTGGGGAGACGAGCTTTTCAGCCTGCAATTTCCCGCTGCTTATCTGCTTATAGTTTGGTCTAATTATTCTGCTGTGTAGGGGCATATAGGGTATGATGCTTAACAAAAAAAAAAAAAAAACACTTCGGGAATCGATTATATTTGAATTGGTGCAATTCTGTTTTACCTTATTTTTCCTTTTATTCACGCGAAGCCAAATGGTTCTTTAGCTGATTCTTCTGCTTTATAACAGCTTGCAGGATGAAATGTTTCAGAAGTTCAATTTTGATACTGAGTGGGCTGTGAACCTCATCTCAAAGATCACTGATGATGAAGATATACCGATCGAGGGTGATTTTATTGTGAGACAGGTAAGTTTTCCTGAATCAGGTTCAAACCATTAGTATTGTCATGATATTGTCATCAAGTTGCGGGATTGGTTTTCCAGCTTTTAGGGTTGCAAATCAATGTGGAGAAGTACTACTTTAGCATCAGAAAGAGCCTGGTCGAGTTTGATGAAGTATTAGAGGTATACATTTCAGAACAACATTTTTCTGGCATGCCTTGTACGCAGTAAGATCATCTTATGTAGACTACACTCCTAATTTAAACAATTATTATCGGTCACCTGGCAAGTTCATTGCAGTAAGGTTACCATTTACCATGACTTGTCTTAGAAAACCTTTTCATCTTCTGAAATGATAATTTTTCCTTACGTGTTTCAGTCAGGAGACTGTTCAGCTTAATCTTATCTTAATATAACTATCAATTATCATTTGGTCATACTATTTCATTCACTTCAGAATTTCTTACCTTTCGATACACTATATAGTCTGAAATGGATCTATAACATGGGCCGGAAACAACATCTAACAGCACGCGTCCCCTTTTGAGATTTTGCTATTGTTTAACCAAGTCCAAAATTTTACATCTCTAGATATAAACATTTTACATCATGATGTCATTTCCATGTCAAAGACTGTTGGATTGATTTTTTGTTTTATCTCGTGGATTTAGTATGGATTGCAGTGGTCCTTTCATAGACAACTGTTGTTATTTCCAATATCATTGAGGACTTTCAGATAAAGCTCGTATTACAGCCTCTAGTGACATTCTTTTGATCGGGGATAAAGTCTCGTTCGAGGCAGAAAAACCCGAGTTAGTCAGTTGGGGAGTATATCTTTGACTCTACTTCCTCCTTCCCTCTCCTCTTTCTGTATCCCTTCTCCAAGCCTTGGATCAGTAGTCAATTCTGTGGATCATGTGCTGTACTGACTACTTGCTATTGAAGTGCTTGAAATAGTTTTTTTGGTTCTAAATGTTAATGGATTGTAATTAATTGAGTATAATATTTGAAAACTACGTCGACTGAAATTGTCCAGCTGCCCATGCTTCTGGGAGGTAAAAGGAACAAATGTCTAGATACTGTTTTATAATAATTAAAGCCCTCCTTGGTTAAACTAGCTGTCCTTTCCTCTGTTGTGATTTTGTTATCAGGTACAAAGGAAACATGTCTATGACCTTCGCCAAGTGATTTTAACAGGTGATAGTGAAAGTTGTAGTCAACACATATTCCAGTAAGTCTCTCTTGATTTTCTGTGTTCCTCGATTTTTGAGTTATGGTAGCATGTTACTTTACTCTATTGCAAATGATACTTGTAATATGATGTTTTACTAGTTCAGCAATCTGCAAAATTTCTCATCAGTTATTAAATAGCTAGGCTACCTAGTTTTAACATCCTCTGAAATTTTCAAAATTCGTTTATGGTCATTATCTTTGGCACTTTCAAGCCTTATATTCGTTTTCTAGTTTTAGTTGACCTGTTGCTCTTTCAAGCCTTATATTCGTTGTCTAGTTTTAGTTGATATGACAACACCAATGCCTTAAAAGGTGACCAGAAGCTACAAGAAAATTATGAGTGCTGTGTATTCCCCAATTCATTCATTGATCCTTTGAATGTCTTGGCGTAGAAGATGATCTGTATGGATTATAGCATGTGAGAAAATAAGGTGTAAATTGAGTGTTTGATTGTCTTATCTATTAATTGCTGGTTCTCTGTTCTCACGTGAATACATGTCTTCACTCTTGTGGCGTGTGTAATTTTTATGTAAAACTTGGGGGATCTGGCGATCTGCTGTGGATCTATGAACCCAAACTACATTAACTCATTAATCCACAGATCATGTAGTCACTTTTTTTTGGTGAAATTATTTTTTTTTGGGTGAAAGATCATGTAGTCATTTTGATTTAGTGCTAATGTTGATGCACAGAAATATATAGTAAAATTATTGTACTGCGTAGTAATGTATGTAGTTGTAAAGGAGCTATATGCATTTATTGTTAATGACTGTCTAGCCCTTAGCGCTTCTGTATAGTTAATAAATTGAGGTTGCTTGTTAGGTATATGCAGGCCAGCGTGGATGACATTGTATTTCACAATGCTGATCCCCAGAAGGTATTTGAAATTTTTAATACTAGTTTATATAAAATACAATCTTCTCCTGTATGGCAAGAAAAAAAAAAACTTTGCCTTACCAGTGTGATTCTTGTCGACAGCATCCACGAAACTGGAATTTGGGATTGATTTTGAAGGAGTATATCGATATCGGAGGAAATTTGTTGGATGGTTAGTTTTGGTTGTTCAAGATCTCTTTGTCGGATTTATCTTTTAATGGTTGTTTAAAATCAGTGCAGTCTTGTTTGTGGAAATACATACTCACCAGGTGCATTTATGTCAGATGTATTTGCGGGAATCACTGAAGAAGCTTTGCTGAAATCTCTCACAGAACCGGAAGAATCTAGTTCTATAGACATCAGTAGTTTTTGCCTTCCAAACATGCCAAAACCACCAAATTCATTCAGAGGGATCCGAAAGAAGTGTTCTTCATTAAAGCGTTGGCTTTGTATATGTTCTGATGATTCATATAAGTGAGTAAACGGTGATGACTTATCACTTGCATCTGTCTTTGTTTAACATCATCAACAATCAACATTATTAAGTATTTATTCATTTTGAGTCCCTATGCTTAGTTCAAATCCTTGATTCAGGAATGGGAGATACAGGACAACAACCAATCTTCTCCGGAAGTACCTTGGAGACTTTCTTATTGCTTCATATTGCAGTGTCATAGAAGATTCAGGATACGATGATACATATATCAGAGAAATCGAGGTAATATAATGTTTTGACGAGTGAATCAAGGTTGGGACCCATGTAGTTGCTGTCATCATGCGACATTGAATATTCAAGTAGATTGATGTTGGTTTAGTTCTTTAGGAGATTAAAAACTATAGATCACTCGAGTCTTTAAGTATGTAAAAGTGAAACATGACACTATTGATGATTTTCCAGTGGGGCTCTGTGACATGAAACATTTAGGAACTGCTAGATAAACTGATACTTTAGTATTATTTGGGTGTTGGTCATAATTTTTGTTTACTAACTTCTGTCTTCTTCCTATCATTCAATTGATGAGTACAGAGAGCAGTTCTCCTGAAGACTGTGGACTGTTTTTGGAGAGATCATCTTATTAATATGAACAGACTCAGTTCAGCGGTACTGTCTATTATTAAAGTTTCAATTATCTTTTTTTCTTTCTTTCTTAGGATAGCCTTAATTTGCGTTGAACCTTTTGTAGGTCAATGTGAGAAGCTTCGGTCACAGAAATCCACTTGAAGAATACAAAATTGATGGGTGCAGATTCTTCATTTCAATGCTGGGTGCAACTCGAAGAATGACCATAGACACATTGTTTCAGTACTGGTCATCTCCTATGGAATCACAGGAACTCTATCTATAATAAGGTTCCCCCATCCACCTGAATGGTACATCTTCATTTTCATTGTCACCAACATTTAGTGGATTGCTTAGCTCAGGGCTCTGAATATTATTCGTTTGAGGTATTTTCTGTGCTAAGGATTTTTTTTATTTGGCAGGTTTGGTCGAGATATTTCCTTGACAATGGTGCAAGCTGATTGTTCATCAGTTACTCTATTGATTTGATGGCAAGTTCCTTGCACTTCTGTCTGATTTGTTTGGCGACCAAAGATCCAGCTCCAATACACTGATGAGGTATGATGTTCTTTCCCGGAAATGTGAAGTTCCAAAGTAATAAGTGATGGTATCAGCCTAGAGAATTAGAAATTCAAAACCAAGTTTCAGCCAACTCATTCTAGACTTGCAAAACAAATACCCTGCTCCTAAGAAAAGAGGAAGTTTTGAACAGGAAACTACAGTACATCATTTAGCTCACAAGTTGTATCCGTCTTTCAGCACCTTTACTTAACTACTACTGCCTTTGTATTGGAACGATGATTAATGCACCACCTGTTGCCATTGCATCGGTGCAAATCTGGGGCAAACTTGGATCTCTTCACCCAACAGGACCGCTCATGTACATATTACTATAGGTCATCAATCTGGTCTCTTCAATTGATTCTTGGAGATTACTGATTCGGTTATTTCCCTTGTCATTTATGGTGGTGAACCCGGTCGATGTTTGTAATGCCAGCATATGAGTGTTTTTGGTTGTGTACATCAGATGGTTGCCAAGTATAAGCAGGTTTCTGTACTTGTGGAAATGAAGCACAAATAGTGTACGTTTCTGTCTTCTCCAAGGAGCTTGTCATAGTTCTCTTCATAGAGAGATTTTACTGTATCCAAAAAAATATCTAACTACAATTGCTACCCACTCGAAATAACTCTTGTTCCCACGAATTCCATCTGAGTTTGCTTGGGTTAATTGCATAGTTGATCACTGTGATTACAAAAAACGTTCATGTTTGATCATTCAAAATATTTAATTCCATTCGTGATCCCTAACATTAGTTAAACGTTTCAACAAATGAAAGCCAACTCATGGATCTTATACTCACAGGCCCACCATACCATGTGCTTTTAATTAACTGTTAATATTGGGAGTCGTGGAGATTCGAACACACGACCACTTGGCCAAACCAGCTCTGATACCATGTCATAAACAGTTGGTCCCAATAACTCGAGTTGTTGGGAGAGGTTCAATCGTGAATCATATACCACAACACTAACACGCCCCCTCAAACGAAAGCCACTCACAAGGGCTTGAAGTTTGCACGGGTTTGCAGACAAGAATACCATGTGCTTAACAAATGGGGGTCACCGGGAATCGAACACAAGACCTCTGGGTCATAGAAGGCTCAGATACCATGTCAAGAACCAGTTGATCCCAATAACTCGAGTTGTTGAGAGAATGTTATGTTGGATCTTATACCACTCTCTAACAGGATGAATCAGGATTTGATGGCGGAGATGAGCTTGATGGGTCAGCCGTAGAATCCATAGAGGACATTGTGATTGACGGAGATGATTGCGAGGATTGTGAAGATGAGAAAGAAGATGGCAAAGCCGGCGACGAGGGCTAAGGTTTCGGTTGGGAGTTGGAGGTCATCGTCATCATCGTGATGATGGGGAAAGCGAACTGTTCAGAGGATCAGAAGTTCAACTGGGCTAGGCTGTGAAGGAGCGGTGGCGGGCCAGAGAGCAGGGAGAAAGAGGGGAAATGGGATAGGGTTAGTGTTAGTGGGGACGGGTCGTGGGCTGGAACTAGCAGGCGGGTCGATATGAATTTGTATCGGTTTAATTTGGGTTGGCTAATTGAGGTTTTTTGACGTGGAAGGTTTATTATGATGTGGCAGATTGGTTTTTTTTTCTTTTTTGGTTTAAATTGCTGAGTAGGCATTTCTATTAGCCAGGTCAGCCAAAAATTGACGTCTTTAACGGGTATTAACGGAAGGTAACGGAGAGTGACTAAAGTTGAAACGTTTAACTAATGTTAAGGACCACGAATGGAATTAAATATTTCGAGTGACCAAACATGAACTTTTTTTTGTAATCACAGTGACCAACCATGCAATTAACCCAAGTTTGCTTAGTTAACAATTTACTTCTTCATCCATAGCTCCCGTAGATTGCTATTTAATAACAAACAACGAGGTTACTACATTTGATCGAACTTCACTGTCACTTGAGAAAGTTGTTCACACTCATGGTTCACGGTTCTGGATCTTCATTTTGGAAGAATCTGTTGAAGCTGTTATCGATAAAAAAAGTTGAAATGGAGAATCATTGATCATCCTCGAGAAATAACCGATCCTAGCAATTGAGTGTGAAGCAGAGTGCATCAGTGGAGAAAGACGATTAAGTTGCAGATATCAAGGTGCATCGTGCAAGAAAAAAGAAAGCCCCACAGGTCAGATCACAAGTGGAGGGTGCGGATAGAATAACAACATCGTTATAATAACAACAAGATTTATTAAGGGTAAAAATGTAAAATACAAAATTAACATAATTAAAATCAAAATTATACTCCGTGATCTCTATCTCTCTTCCTCCCAAAAAATAGCAGCGACGACAATTTTTTTTTCCTCTCCGACACCATTCCTCATCTCTGCCATCGACGCACCAATCCGCATATCTACCATCGCTGGCGTCAATCCACATCTCTCCCATCGTCGGCGCCATAGCACCAGCTGGGGAAAAAATTGTCTACAATGACCGAGAATTAGGTCGTTATCCCCGACCAGCAGGTGGTTTTTTGGCAGCAGAACCCGAGGACGACAGAGTTCAACATCAGGTGCAGCGCTTCGACGCATACTCCCAGGGCGGCGCCGCCGTCCCGCCGTCCACCTCGCAACCCATAAACTCGGTGTTGTAGAGAAAGAACAGGAACCAACCGATCCAGTTGAGGGACGTCACCACCAGGAGCACAATCATCCTGTGCCTCTTCGATTCGATTCTGTCTCCCTTCATATTCGTTGCTGAGGCTGTGAAATTAACAAAGATTGGGCAGATGACGAGAGCAGAGACTGAATCAGCACAAATGGTTTGAATAGATGAGGCCGCTGCGGTTGCGAAAATCGGTGGGAGATTTTGACTGTTGCTGCAAATCTGCTGGGAAATCAATCATCTCGTTGTGGGCGGTGTTTCAGGTAATCGTCACCATGTCGCCATCAGCAGAGTAACGGCAGCCATGGATTTGGTTTGTGACACGTTCAAGCAGTGACTTCTAATAAGACGGGTGGACTGCATGGCTTGTTTTCACGAATCCCTTGAACGACAACGAAGATCTTCCGGCACAAGGGAATTTGGGTTGGGGAGGGAAAAGTGACTCAAAAGCTCTTCTTTATGCAGACCACAAATATCTCATAATGATATAAGAAATCTCTTAATGTAGACCATAAATAGGGAAATCAATCCTAAAAAGTATACCAAAAATCTCCTAATACGTACAACAAATTGCCTAAAACAAACCAGAGATCCCACAAAGCAACTACAGAATGTTCGAAATCACACGAGAAACCTCATAATGCAAACCACAAACGCCGTAAAGCAAACCACAAAAAAACAAACCAAAAACCTCCTAGTGCAGACCACAAATCCATTAAAACAAACCAGAAACCCCACAAATCAAACCATAAAATTTTCAAAAGCACACCATAAACTTCTTAATGCAAACCAGAAATACAATAAAGCAAAACATAAACCTCCTAATGCATACCACAAATCTCCTAAAACAAACCACAAACCTCACAAAGCAAACCACAACATTTGCAAAAGCACACCAGAAACCTCCTAATGCAAACCACAAACACAGTAAATCAAACCACAAAAAAGCAAACCGGAAACGTCCTAATGCAGACCACAAAAATATTAAAACAAACCAGAAACCCCTCAAAGCAAACCACAAAATTTTTGAAAGCAAACCAGAAACTTCTTAATGCAAACCACAAACACGATAAAGCAAACCACAAAAGGCATATAAAAATATGAGAAACCAAACCATAAATCTCACGATGCAAACCATAACATCCGGTGGTCGTTGACCAGTCAACGAAGTTCGTTGACCAAACTCCGATGACCGTCAGTGAGCAGATTCCGATGCCGATAAGCATATTTCGGCCACGATGACTAGATTCCGATGCCGGTAAGCATATTCTGACCACGGTGAGCATATTCCGGCGACGATGGGCATATTCCGATGACCAAATAGCATATTCCGGCGACAAAAAGCATATTTCGGAGATCGCGCGACCAGATTCCGGTGACCAAAATTTTGGGCAGAATTGGGGGTTCTAGGTTTTGCGACAAAATAGCATATTCCCTTTCTCTCTCCATAATTGGGGTTCTAGGTTTTGCTCGTAATTTGGTAGTTTGCTGACCTGTGATATTATTTAGCAGGATTAGGGTACCAGTTTGTTGAATGTCAATATTGTTTGGGGGTTCTAGGTTTTGCTCATTAATTTGGTAGTTTATTACCCGAGATATTATTTAACTGGCCTGGGAACGAGTTGGTTTAATGGGGATTCAAATTTAGGGATTCTGGGTTTAATGTGGATTCGAATATTAGCAGACCTAGGATATTATTTGGCGGGTCTGGGATACCTGTTGGTTGAATGTGAATATTATTTTGTAATTGATTGTTCTGATATTAGTTTTACATGTCTGGATATTAGTGAGCTTAGGGTAGATATTAGTTAGCTGATATTGTTTCCGACTATTGTGTATCAAGAAGTAAGAACAATGCCAAGAATTAAAACATTTGCGAAGTGACTTCGACTCGAAGAAGGACCATCACGACATCATCATGCAGAAAAACCATAAATTGGTGTTATTATTTAGTTTTATGTATAATGCTGGACATAAATTGGTGTAATTATTTAGTGTGGTGTAATCAGTTTCGGGTGGATGATTGTAAATATTAGTTAAATGATGGATATTGGGTTGGTGAAGGATGGAATAATGGTTCATTTCAACTATGATACAAATTTAATAGATCAAAATCCACATAAAATAAATATCCAAACCACCCAGATTAATATTCGACTATCGCAGACTACTATTCATTTATACCAAAACAAATATTCACACTAGAAAGCCGAATATCCACCACACACAGACTAATACCCACACCGCTCAGACAAATATCTTACCACAAGAAACTAATATCTATGAATACCAAAATTAATATCTCCACCACCTAATACTAATATCCATTGAACACAGACTAATATCATACAATACCAGACTAATATCTGTCTATACACACAGATTTCCACACATCACAGATTAATATCATCTCATACATATAATGAAATCATATCATTACACACAAATATTGAATCACCCTACATTGTGTTCATAATAATTTTCACAATATTTTCTTCTAAACCCTAAGCCCTAAACCAGAACTCGAACCCTAAACCCTAAATCAGTGTAATAAGTTTCCAATGATACAAATTAAGTAGATAAACATCCACATAAAACAAATACCCAAACCACCCAGACTAATATCCGACCGTCACAAACTAATATCCATTCACCATAACAAATATTCACACTACCCGAACTAATATGCCACCGTCTGAGACTAATATCTAGTCATCCCAAAATTAATATTTTCACTATTACGGACAAATATCAGCCACGTACCGAATAATAGCCAACCGTTGCATACTAATATCCGACTACACACAAATACACACACATTGCATACTAATTTCCTCCCATCATATAATAATATTCTATCACCACAAACAAATATCAAACCACCTTATATTGTGTTCACAACTATTTCCACAATATCATCTTCTAAACCATAAACCATAAATTCTAAGCCTTAAACCCTAAACTCTAAACCAAAACCCAAAACCTTTAATCCTGACCCTAAACTCTAAACCATAAACCCAAACCCTAATTTTAAAACCTCAACCTCAAACACTAAAGCCTAAATCAAATCCCGAACCCTAAACCTTAAAACCTAAACACTAAAGACCCGAACGCTAAATCCTATATCCTAAACTCGAAACCTTATGGACCCTCTATTTCACCATCTATCATCTCATACCACTGAGTAATATAATAAAGATGCCAATAAAACCACCACAATTTCCTCCACGTGGCTACCATGATGGCATGACAATATATTTACCATTTACATGAATTGGGTGTTTAAGTGGTGTGCTAGCTAAAGGTTTGCCTCTCTAGCCACCCACTACCCTATTTACCCATTCAACTACACGTGGAGTAATGGTGGAAAGACCAAGGTTTCTCTTTTCCATCCATTGATCAATTAATTAGTTTGTTATTTACCTCTCTGTTAAGTCCCAGGGAAAACACCTAACAGATCACTTTCCCATGCTTCCACGAGTGGAAAGGATGTGGAAAATTCACCACTTAGCTTTACCCATGCATAACATGTAAAAACTAGAACTTATCTTTGTTGTAGGTTGGTAAGTATACATTTCTCTCAAGTCTAATACATTTGATCACTCATTCCTCCTAAAGCCACGTGGACATGAGATGGACGATTACTTGATTAATCATAGTTACCTATGCCCAACAACCCATTTCATGTTACTATTACACGTGGAGAAGAGGGGAATGAAGACAACTCTATCCCAAAATGTCTAATTATCTGCTTGATGGAGCTCTTTCATTAAAAAAAAAAAAACATAACACCCTATCTCCTTATATCACACGTGGTATTGAAAATATGGAGTTAGTGTATTGTTGTTCATTTGCTTTTACTTAATTATCTCTACCAAGCCAAATCAACCATTCATAAGCCACCTCTACTTACACGTGGTTAAACGAAAAGAGAGGTAAGCTTATTTTCCTTTTAGTCGTTCAGTTTTATGTGCCAGACTCAACCAACGCCATGCCACATGTTTTGGATGATTGAATATTTTGTTATTTTATTCTTTATACGCCATCCACGTCAGAAGCAGGAGACACCTATAAATAGGGCACTCTCAGTAGTTCATTTCAGATAAAAACTCTGAATCTCTCTCTAGAGCCGACTTACTATGCCACTCCCGCTTACTCTCCTCTCAAACACTGACTTGAGCTTCGGAGCAGGTCCCTGCCGACCGCTGGCCAGCGGGTTCCTCTTTTGCAGGTGTCCATCTCGAAGGCTGGTGGTGGCGGACGTTGGCCAGGAGGACGATGCTCACCGGACCTCAAACACATTGAAGCAGGCTCCTCCAAGCTTGATATCAACAATTGGCGCCCACCATGGGGCCCAGTGAGATTAATACCAACAAACCGTCAATCCAACAAGACGAGGTGGATACATAGGATCTGCAACCCGAAGCCGGGATTCGTCAAGATGCAACTCCAAAATCAATCGAGTTACTATCTTCAAGAATCGAAGATCCCAACGAGGTGGACACATAGAATCTGAAATCCAAAGCCGGGATTCGTCAAGATGCAACTCTAAACATCAATCAAGGTTCTATCTCCAAGAATCGAGGATCCCAACGAGATGGACATGCAGGATCTACAAACCGAAGATGGGATTCGTCAAGATGCAACTCCAAACATCAATCAAGTTGCTATCTTCAAGAATTGAGAATCCCAACGAGATGGGCATGCATGATCTGCAACCCGAAGAAGGAATTCGTCAAGATGCAACTACAAACATCAATCAATTTGCTATCTCCAAGAATCGAGGATCTCCCAACCAAGATTGAGTTGTGTCAATCTTTGGTCTGGAACTGTGGGCCCTCAACCCCACTAGTTCCTCCATCAATTTGTCGCGAAATCATAGGATCCTCAAGTCCTCTCATGGAATGGCACCCTGACATCAACAATTGGCACCTACAGTAAGGCTTGATGAAAAGTTTCATAAAAAATTTGCGCTTACTATGGAGCTCGGTGAAGAAATTTACAAATTGTCATTGTCAACGTCAAACCCACTAGGAGAGACGGTGGAGAAACCTGATGTCGTGGAATTCACAACAAGGCCATGGGGCACCAATTTAGGTCCGCCTCTCGTAAGACCTACGTTTTACCGAGGAAGTCCATGTGGTCTACTTTTTAAGTAGGTACACCTCATCAATGAGGTCAAGGATTCAATTCCCTGCGAATCGCTATTGTGAAAAAAAAATCCACTTTTTCACACACACCACTCTGCCTCCCATCTCTTCCGAATCCTGACAGGACAACTTTTGCATCATTCTCATGCTCCAATGGAGAAAAATCCAAGTACGAGAAAGTTATTGTTAAACTAAAAAACTATCTGGTAATCCCTACTAAACTCTCATTTATACTTGATATCAAAATTCTCTGATGTTGCATAACTCAAAACCATTGTCCTTGTCACTCATTCATGGACGTACAACACTAAGCACACACATGAGCTTACAAAAATTGGAATGGGTCACTTCCAAGGATTGGTACGGGTCGAATACCATGTTGGCATGTTTCTTCATGGTTGCCTACCATGAATGGTGCGGCCTGCCTGTCATGACTGACACGACTTTCCATGATCGCTCGCGCTCATACGCCATGATTTGTGCGACTCTCCAATACTTGCTTGTCATATATGTGTGTGCTCTACATGCCATGATTTAAATCACTTACCTAGTGTTGTAGTTACCAATAGAAAACTTTGATTTCTATCTTAACTTTTATATTGGTGAGGGGGCAATTGATGGACCCTCTATTTTACCACCTATCATCTCATACCAATGAGTAATAAGGATGCCAATAAAACCACCACAATTTCCTCCGCGTGGCTACAATGGTGGCATGGCAATATATTTACCATTTACATGAATTGGGTGTTTAAGTGGGGTGCTAGCTAAAGTTTACCTCTCTAGCCACCCACTACCCTATTTACCCATTCAACTACACGTGGAGTAATAGTGGAAATACCAAGGTTTCTCTTCTCCATCCATTAATCAATTAATTAGTTTGTTATTTACCTCTTTGTTAAGTCCCAGGGAAAACACCTAACATATCACTTTCCCATGCTTCCACGAGTGGAAAGGATGTGGCAAATTCACCACTTGGCTTTACCCATGCATACCATGTAAAAAACTAGAACTTATCTTTGTTGTAGGTTGGTAAGTATATATTTCTCTCAAGCATAATACATTTGATCACTCATTCCTCCTAAAGCCACGTGGACATGAGGTGGATGATTACTTGATTAATCATAGTTACCTATGCCAAAAAAACCCATTTCATTTCATGTTACTATTACACGTGGAGAAGAGGGGAATGAAGACAACTCTATCCCCAAATGTCTAATTATCTCCTTATATCACACGTGGTATTGAAAACACATAGGTAGGGTATTGTTGTTCATTTGCTTTTACTTACTTATCTATACCAAGTCAAATCAACCATCCATATGCCACCTCCACTTACACGTGGTTAAACGATAATAGAGGTAAGCTTATTTTTCTTTTAGTCGCTCAGTTTTATGTGCCAGAATCAACCAACGCCATGGCACCTGTTTTGGTTGATTGAGTATTTTGTTCTTTTATTCTTTATACGCCATCCACGTCAGAAGTAGGAGGCACCTATAAATAGAACGCTCATTTATACTGTTATAAAACGCGCTGCTACGGGAAATAGCCGGAATCGATAAAGCAAGAATACAAAAGCGATAATCGAAAAACACAGACACACGATTTACGTGGTTCACTAACACGATGTGTGTTAGCTACATCCACGGGCGAGAGAGAGTCAGTTTCACTATATCGAGGAGATTACAAATTACAGAGGAGTATGAGAAGTATTTATGGTACTTCTCCATGTGGGTCTAAACCTAATCCAATCTGGCAAAGGAAACGGTTACAGACCAGGCCCAGAACCCGAACCCAAATAACATTGAGCCCATACACCGTGGGCCGGGGGCTGATAGTCGTAGCGGCTGATAGTCCGATTCAAGTCATATCAACAAATCTCCACCTTGACTTGAATCCTCTTCCTCTGAAATCTCTGATGTACTCTGCTCCTTCTATCTCTCTCCCGCCATCAATGCCCCGCAGGGCGGAGTCACCCACTCAAGACATTCAGCAAGTCCAAGCAGTGTTGGAATTTGCCATGTGGAACCGGCTTCGTGAACATATCAGCAGGATTATCCGCGGTGCCAACCTTCTTCACCTTAATCCTCTTCTCTGTCCTTAAGAAATGATACCTCACATCGATGTGCTTAGTCCTCTCATGGTGGACTTGATCCTTGGCCAAGCATATTGCACTCAAACTATCGCAATATACCACTGTCTGATCATGATGTAGACCAAGATCACCAACCAGTCCCTTCAACCATATTCCCTCCTTAGCAGCTTCTGTCAACGCCATATACTCTGCCTCAGTAGTAGACAATGTCACCGACGACTGCAAAGTTGCCTTCCAGCTCACTACAGAACTCCCAAGAGTGAATACATAACCGGTCATCGATCTCCTCGTGTCAACATCTCAAGCATAGTCCGAGTCAGAATACCCAGACACCAAGCACTCTGTATCACTTCCGAAGCTAATCCCCACATCAGGTGTACCCTTAAGGTACCGAAAGATCCTCTTCACAGCCTGCCAATGCTCCTTCCCAGGTTGTATCATAAACCTGCTGACAATACTAACATCATGTGCAAGATCAGGTCTAGTGCATACCATAGCGTACATCAAGCTACCTACTGCACTAGCATATGGGACTCTCGACATGTACTCCTTCTCAGCCTCTAACTGCGGTGCATAAGCTGAGGATAGATGAACATTTGAAGCACTAGGAGTATTTAAGGGCTTTGCTGAAGACATGCCAAACCTCGACAGTATCTTCTGGATGTAGCTCTTCTGTGACAAAAAAGCTTCTTCTTCGACCTATCCCTGTAAATCTCCATACCCAAGATCTTCTGAGCAGCTCCCAAATCCTTTATCTCAAACTCAGCACTGAGAAGCCCCTTTAACTTCTGGATATTAGACTTTGACCTCGCAGCTATGAGCATATCATCCACATACAGAACAAGATAGATCATCGAACCATCCTCCACCTTGTTGTGACACACACAACAATCATATGGACTTCTGCTGTAGCCAGCTCAAGCATGTAACTGTCAAATCTCTTGTACCACTGCCTCGGAGATTGCTTAAGTCCATACAAGGACTTCTTCAACTTACAAACATAGTCTTCTTTTCCCGGAACCTCGAATCCTTATGGCTGAGTCATGTAGATTTCTTCCTCCAACTCTCCATGTAGGAAAGCTGTCTTCACGTCTAGCTGCTCGAGCGCCAAGTCATAATGTGCCACTATTGCTAGTAGCACTCTGATCGAAGTATGTCTGACCACTGGTGAGAAAATCTCATTGTAGTCAACTCCTTCCCTCTGCGAGAAGCCTCGTGCAACCACCCGAGCTTTAAATTTCATGCCCTCTTTAGAAGTGATTCCTTCCTTCTTCTTGTAGATCCACTTGTTTGTAACAATCTTCCTTCCCTGTGGTCGTTTGACTAGCTCCCAAGTCTTATTCCTGTCATGGGATTCCATCTCATCTCCCATTGCGGCAAGCCACTAATCAGCTTCACCACCCGAAACTGCTTCTCTATAGGACTGTGGCTCTCCTGCATCCACTTCTTCAGCAACCTGAAATGAATACGCCACCATGTCCTCGAAGCCATACCTCTGTGGAGGTACTCCTGCAGTCGCTCTCTTCGGTCTACCGGAAGCAATAGACTGTTGAGCTCGTGCACTGGACTCTGAAGTTTCTGGCTCTGCAGAGACATCCTCATCATGTTGATCTTCTCCACCTTGGTGCTCAAACTCACTCTCATTGAGAGTTTGCAGCTCCACCTGCTTATCAACATTCTTGCTACCTTCAACAACAGTAACCTTCAACATGGGGTTAAACATAGACTTCTCATCAAATATCACATTTCTACTGAGTATAACTCGATGCTCAGAAGGTGACCAGACTCGAAATCCCTTAACTCCATCTCCGTAACCCACAAATACACCCTTCTTTGCCCTAGGGTTCAGTTTACCCTCATCCACATGATAATAAACAGGACACCCAAAAACTTTCAGTGAGGAGTAATCAGCAGGCTTACCATACCACACCTCATAAGGAGTCTTCAACTCAATACCTGTGTGAGGTCCACGGTTGATCAGGAAGCACGCCATGTTCACTGCTTCTGCCCAGAATCTTCTCTCTAGTCCAGCATTAGAGAGCATGCACCGTGCTCTCTCCAGCAATGTCTAGTTCATCCTTTCTGAAACGCCATTCTGCTGGGGTGTATCTCTCACAGTTCGATGACGGGCAATCCCTTCATCCTTGCAAAATTCGTCGAACTCAGAATTACAGAACTCCAGACCATTGTCTGTTCGCAGCTTCTTGATCTTCTTACCGGTCTGATTCTCCACCAATGTCTTCCACAGCTTGAACTTCGTGAAAGCCTCACTTTTCTGCTTCATCATGAAAATCCAAGTAAATCTCGAATAATCATCAATAATAGACAGAAAATACCTGCTGCCTCCAATGGATTCAACTCGTGAAGGACCCCAACAGTCGGAGTGGAGGTAATCTAGTATCCCCTTCGTCCGGTGGATACCCTTCTTGGGAAACTTGCTGCGACGTAGCTTCCCAAACACACAATGCTCGCAGAATTCCAAATTCTGCATCTTGTGCCCGCAAAGAAGATCCCTTTTCGACAGAACTTACATCCCCCGTTCACTCATATGCCCCAGTCTCATGTGCCAAAGAGTGGTCATATCTTCCTGATGAACCTGAGACGATGCAACTGCAGCAGAACCAGACAACACAGACCCTTGTAATGCATACAAGGTCCCACGCTTCACGCCCTTCAGCACCTTCCTTGAACCTTTGCAGACATACACAACTCCACATTTTCCTTTGAAACTGAAACCCTTGCTGTCGAGTAGACTCAAGGAGATCAG